AACACTTCTTTTTATGATTACTCTACGAATTCACTAATTACTAATTAAGTAATTGGTTAGACGGAATAATATCGTAAATATGATTGCTATCAAAGAGTTGACTTTAGGATACGAAGCTCACTCCGTTCTTCAGTGAAAACCACCAGATATTATAATAAATCTTTGATATAACCTAACTATATACGTTTAGATACTTGAACGATAATCTTCAAATTCCTTCCTTCAGCGTGTCACCGTAACAGGCAATTATATAAACATGTGTTAGCCTGTCAGTTTGTATTCAATTTACATCCCACCTACCTGGAATAGACTGTTTCGGTGTAACTTTGTTTTACCGACGAAGAAAAAAAGCATATTGTATATTAGCTGGGAAGGTTTCATGTATTTGATTGTCTTTGTCGTCCTAACATCAACTGCGTTTGATGGAACAACCAAGCAAGCAAAATAGAGGTTAGACGTAAAGCCGGTAAGTCAACCAATGTAACTGTAAATCTTCATTGACTCAGGTGGCTTGCGTATGTGTTGAGTCACCACCTACCTCCGCACACCATGTTACCCGGTATAGGATTAGGTTGGAAGTAACCCGACAGTGACCAAACTATGAAGTGATAACAGGGCCTGAATCCTGTTACTAGTTTAAACCATCGAACAAACTGCACGCTTCCTTGCGAGAGTCTTCAAGAGAATCGAAACTAGCTGGTGGATAACATGCAAGATGGCCCAGGTATATCCACATGTAATCTTCATTTTAACTACTTTATCACCTTTTGCTATTTATTTTATCCTTAATCTCTTCCTACGTCTTCTGATGATTACATGTTTTCCAGTTTCTAGATCTTTTATCTCGCTACCTTTTATTTGATATGGTGAATTTCGGACCCTTCAAAAGACACTCACTAGTACCAGGTCCTATGCTGATAATAACCAAAAAACAAAAAGTTTCATATGATTTGGGCCATGAACTTGCCAGAAACTGATTTAATTTGTACAAAAAGTTGTACTATTAGGTGAAAACAAATCTCCTATTTTACCCATTTCCTAAATTAACATCTATTCAACCGTATTCTCATTTCATTTCTATGACTACTTATAAATCCACTTGTAATCAAACTTCCGTGTTTCCACTTATTACTGTATAACACGCCCGTCCTCTGAATCCGAGGAGTTAAACGTGCACTGATTGTAATCGGAATTGTATTGTTTATAAACCTGTACCATGTTGTACGAGATTTTGATATTTAAAGGTTAAATCTAATGAGACTTTGTTAGCTGATCAACTGACTGGTTAAAATAAGTTTTTGTTCAGGTCTTTTGTCTTCTCAATTTTATCGTAAAACTTTTGCTGGTTCTCGTCTAATTATCTAATATCCAACTTAAGTTTGGTCATGGAAATTTAAACAGAAGGTAAGAATAAATGTCCCTCCATTTGTTGCCACATGACTTTTTCACTAATCCAGTGCTACGTAACTGCCAGGATGTTTTATTTCTTCAGTCTTTCTTGTTTCTACGACTAGGCGGTCTGCCAACCTTTACATATCTCTGTATTGATAGTGTCGGATGATTTTTTGCTTTCTACGACTATTGTCTTCCTAGGATTCGTCTCACTGATGCCAACAGTATCTGGTAAACTTTCAGGCTTTATGGTGAGCTCTTGGAGATGATGAGTATCTTTATTAGCTAGATGTAATCATTTTGCGATCGTAACATCTGTGAATTGAGCAGATCCTTCCTATGTTGTTTCAGATACTTCTGTTCCGTTCACTGTTTGCTAGGAGCGCTCTAACTGGTGAACACGAACTGCGAAGGATGGTCAGTGCACGATGTAGCACAATGGATAAGGCAGAGTTGTAATGAGCTAGCACATTTGATATATCACAACTCCTTTAATAAGGTGCCAGCGATTGTATAGCTGAGTGGTTTGAAGCAATGTCAAATATATCTCAGTGAGAAAGGCTGTGACGATCATGCTGCAATTCCTTTGGGTTTTACACTTGTGAAAAGTAATCAGCCTCCTAAACTTTCGACAACCCTTTCTTCTTTTTCCAGTTACATTGCTACGCTTTACCGCTTGGCTTTCTTTTTTATATGCATAATATCCCTATCTAAATCTGCGTTAAGCATTTTTCGATGCCCACATTCTATTGAGTTTCTGTTGAAGTAAAGAACACAATACTAATGAATAGTCGCATCTCCAGCTTTTGCAATCCACAGACTGCTGAACCATATCTATCTCAAATTCAAGCTTTTTCAAAACTTAAGTCATTCTCTGCATATGCATGTAGCATTTTTCACAAAACTTATGCTAACAAAAGATTGTGCGTTTTGGAAATTTTATTTAGCGCCAAAATTTACTTCATTTTCCCGTCTGTTGTAAGTAGGTCATGAAAAAGAATCGTCTGCAAGGCGGTCTGTGCGTGTTGGTGCAAAGCCTGAATTCATTCCTGAACTGTCTGAAAGTCAGAGTGATTCGATGGTTTTCACACCGATAAACGAGAATGTAAGTTAGTTTCATGCGTAATATGGTAATGTATTATGATGTATCTTTATACTTTCAGATCAGTACTACATGATGAAATGATATCAGTAAGGTTACTTTTGGAAATAAGCGAGTACTAGACATGCCCTTTGTCCCAGTTTTCGACTCCTCAACATTGTGGATCCATAGCCTTACGTAAAATCAAGACGAGAATTGTCAAACCCTGTGATAAATTTACCATTAAGCCATTGGGTTAAGTCCTTATCATTCACACTTTACAACTTCTGTCCTTACGTGAAGTAGCACAACCTTCATACGATGTCATCAGTTAGTACATGTTTACTAATTTGACTTCACTGTTCTCATATGTAACGGTTTTTTTTCAGAACTTCGGGAAGTCAACTACTATTCTCTCGCGAGTTTGGTATAAACTTGATCAACTTCAAAGTAGTTCTCATCATAGGTTATGTTTATTCCTTCATTTGATCCACTGTACAATTTGTTCAACAGTTTTCAACTATCTGTTAGTGGTAATTTCAGTAGATACCTTTCTCCATGTTCGCTGATAGACAAATCAATGTAAAAACCTGCACTGATTATATTTTCTACACTTCACATCACCCTGTCAAGATAAAGTTTGTAGAACAAGAACGGCATTAAACTAAGCAATAGTTTATGGGAGTAGAGGGAGGTAATAAATAAAGACTAACGAAAATACTCCACAATTCTAAGATGATTAAAAGTGTATATACCTCTGTCATGATTCATTTTGAGCCATATCATCAAAAATCTCCAACTATTGGTTCCTGGCATCTTGGGGACTCCAGTCTGGCAGTCTACATTTGCATACATCCCTTAACTCAACATTCAGAGACTTCATCAACTGGTGTCACCTCTTGATCTCGTCATTCGTAGCTTTCTTACAAAGTAATCCTATTTTGGCTAGCATCAAGGTTGGCTGTTGATCAACATGTACAAAAATGTCCAAGCTGCCCTAGTCGTTGTAAGTTTATGACTTAGAGTTGTAGCCCATTGGTTTTGGGAGTCGGCTTTCAAGCAGTGTGCCGTGGGCTCGAATGCCGCTCCATCTACCAAGGTTTAGGCAGCCAGACAGTAAGTATCATTGGCTATCACACAGTATATATGGCTCATTACCTACTTCACAACTACGCTCAGGGTTAATGACTGGGTTTCGGTTTCGGCTCAGTTTATAAGTTTTTCGGCTAATTTATCTTCTTTGTCGAGTGATCTACGCCTAACCTTATGTGGTCGTTCCACCATATGTGAGGAATGCTACAGAGCCGCTTTTCGTAAAATAAATGCATCCTCATTTCTCGCGCTTTCAATAACCAAGTCTCTCGGCTTACATTCCGCAGGTGAGAAACATATGCAGATGTATTCTCAAGGGGCTCAAAAGATTACATTTTTTTATGTTTCCATCGAATGAGACTATGCCATCAGCCAAATACCCTCCGGTGAGCAAATCAGTTCATGGGGTCACGGCCATTAAGACGTCTGTAACTTAGTGATTTTGATTATTATTATTATTATCAGCAGTAGTAGTGGTAGTAGTAGTATTATACACCACTTCCTGACAAGTAAGTAACACGCTATTTAGAGGTGTAAGATTTTTATTCAGGGCTACCAGTGAGTCAGTCATGCTATCACACTCTAATCTGTCTGGTAATTGAGTCCAGTGCTAGTTTTCATAACAATCGTGTAACTATTGAATTAACACATGAAGTTTTACGTAGTTGCTGATATATCTGTTTGCACTCGTAATTCTCTTGTGTTATATCATATTATCAGTAGAACATAATGCTTATTCAATATGAATATCATTCTTCATCTATAATTCACCATTTCGCTGACTGATGTCAGCTATGAGATTCAGTTTAGTATAAGTGTGTATGGTGAGTATTTACATTATAAAAGGATATACAGGCATGGTTTATTTATGTAGCTAGTTTTTAAGTAGGTCACTGCAAGGAAAATAGTGAAAAAGTTTTGATAAATTTGCTGGTCGTAGTCTACTCACCTGGCACAAAATTGTAGGAGAGGAAGAGAGAGAGAGAGAGAGAAACGTGAACCGGTGACTCTATGAACATAGAATGTACTCACTTTTTATTATTAAAGCAGCTAATGATAGATGGTTAGGAAGGCAGCCTGAAAATAAATTCTAAGTTAGTCTACTCTTTAGATTAACGCCACATTGCATGCACTATATTCACCTTATTGAAATTTTAATAATATACCGGTTGGGAGTGGTGGGCTTATTGAAACCTTGAGGTATCGGTTCGGGACTTAAGCCCCAAGTGGAAAAGATCTTTTGACTCCAATTAGGTCGTGCATTTAACGTTGTGGTGGATTACTTAAAAGAAGGAAGGTTCTTATGCCTTTCGACTCCATCTTGAAACAGAATAATTAAACTCTTTACTACCTGTCTCCTTAATAATTTTTATTGAAGAAAGAAGCACCAGGTTTGCAGTAATATAACTAACCTATTTTATTTCCAGGGTTCTATTCAACTGCTAACAACCTGAAATATACTTTGCATTATTGAGATCATAACATAACTCTATTTTAGTTAGTTTATGGAATTACATTCTACCACTGACCAAGTTTTACTCGTATATTACATCATAGCATACATTTTCGTTGTGGAATAAGACCAAACAAGAAATGTGAAGTCTGATGAAGGGGGAACGGGATGACAAATTATGATATGAACGTTATAGGTGACAAGGAGAAATGTTATCGAATTATAAGTAATTGTGAAGCAAAGAATTTTCTGTGAATGGTTTACAGCAAAACTTATAACTCAGCAATATGTAGCGAAAAAATTGATGAGCCTTATGTTAGAACACACAGGAAATATGTTAAGTGAAAAAGAAGTAAGCAGAGTAATGACAGTTGGTTACGCGCATCGAAAAATGGATTGGATAGCGGTCAAAATATTTTTAACAGTGCAAAGTCAGTTTAATCACAGTACGCAAATGGTAACATGAAATTACTTGGTTGCAGTCAGTTCCATTTAGCAAAAGTAGGATCAGTATTCAGTGGTGGGAGTCAAACAACATGAAATCCTTGACCTGTGTTTGGTTCCTCGCCGGCACTCATCACTGAGGAGTATCTACAAGCATGAGGACACTGGTGTTCACAGACTTGACCACTAAGACCTTTAACCCATAACTAACCCCCTGTTGGACTAGATCATGTAAAAAAGTCGGTCTTCAGAGGGTAACTGATGTATCCATCTAGTCCTAATAGTTTAGCACTGATTGACGTCTATTGACCAAGTGAGGATGGGTTTTGTTCAATATTGATAATTATAAAGAAAGCTGATGGATCCTTTTTATGTCCTGAATGAATTAAATGTCTAGTGGTTGCGTTTGTGAATGGTTTAGTACCATCCAGCGCCAGACTTTCCAGAATATGTTCAAAAAATAAACGAATAGTCATTCTGTTCCTTTAATATACTTCCTTTTAAGTGCTGTTAGCTGGAGTCTTGACCCAGGATTCGTTGCTTGCAAGCCGAGTGGTCAATTCAACTAACTATGACTCCACAGATTTTCGACTAAGAAAATTCAAAAATAGTGGTATGCACTGGAACGAGCTTATCAGCCGAGTTAGTTCTGATCTCTTATTCGTTTGATCTGGAATATCATCTCCTTTGAAAGCTATCTGGATAAATTTGGGCTTTTTATCGACTTTGGGGACATTCTCTTCGCTGCTGCATCGTCTACTATTTTTATTGATGAGCTTCTTTGAGTAACCATTCTCAAATAAATACGCTTAAATGACAAGTTATCATAGAGTTAATTTCGAAGTAGTACTCTTTTTATTTCGTCAAATAGCAACCTAACTTGTTGTCCTTTTCTTTTCAATTGTCAGGAACTGTTACAATTTAAGTAATATTCCGTTCAACAGTGCTTATATAATAGGTGTCTCTGTCGATTGTGGCACAATCTGTCTTTCTGATGGACAGACCTAGAAAATTAAAACACTTGTTACACTTATGTTGCATCCTAAATGTCTGTTTTTATATTACTGGAAGCATCATATAATTTCAGTCCATGGGTTATATCTTCAAGAATTCCTGTCATGTCATCTAGATCTCCTACTTCATTTAACTTAGACCATTTCTATTTATTTATAGTTTTTTTAAAAACGTATTCCCCCTATTAAAACAGTTCTTACCCATCCCAAATTATTATTCTTTCATGTGAATTGATATTTTTCAGTCCGAGTTAAGCATGAAAAAGAAAACAGTACTGATGAAGAACAATAATGCAGGTGAACACACTGATAGTCAGCCTACAGAACAAAATATTCCTCTGCCTGCAGTTAAATCGAATGGCTTAAGAAGTTCAGTTGAATTCGATGTACTTGTGAAACCATCATCATCATCATCATCATCGAAATCTGCTAATTGTTCCCCTTTCACTTGTGTCCATAAAAGTAGATTTGGTCTTTTAGGTGCACTGTTTGCCACCTATGGGAAAACATTGGCATGGTCAGCATTTCTAAAATTGACTTATGATATTTTAGTATTTGTAAATCCTGCACTATTAAAGTGAGTTGTTTCTATTTTTATACTCTGAACCAATTCTTGTATACCTTTCTTTTATATACAGTGATATTTGAAACTTAAATAATAGGGTGAAATGGTTTTATCTCACTGGTTCCTCATCACCTGCAAACAACCTGAACAAATAAGCTCATAATGAGCAATGATAACACTAACTGAGTCAGATGTAAAGACAAATTATATTGTATTGTAGAGGTGACTCCCTTTATCTTAGGTTTTCCAGAAAATGACCGCCGCCCTAAGAAGCTTCTGGTTAACTTAAAGTGCCGGGACAGTTGTTCTTTTGGGTAACGAAGTTGACAAGGTGTTGAGAAAGAACTTGAGCATGTTTGACATGCGTTTCATACTCGTCAAGATGAGGACTATGCTTCAAAACTTGTCTGCACTGACCCAAAATAAACTAATCGAATATCTCAGGGTTTTATAAATCCATTTTGCGTCAAACAGTTTAGAAGGGTACTTATGACTGATTTCTTGAAATTTGACTTCCAAGTACTAGTTTTCTGGTTCAATCTGAGGTAGGTACTATTGATCACCTCTGCACAATAGCTTTGTTGTCAAATAAGTGGTTAGACACTTGAATGGTTTTCGAGGTGTATTCAACCCAGCTCAGAGAACACAATACAACCAAGGCCATCCACCTAAGCTACACAAATTCTCCACTATTTCTAGGTGTATTCATTTTATTTTTTACATATTAATCTCTCTTATTGCAAATAGTCTAACCTGAAGAGACGAAGTCTCATAAGGCAAAGACAGGAAAATTCACAAACATAGAAGCAAAGAATGTTCGTCTCTTCATGATAGTGGATCCCTTCAACTGGACACATACCACAACACCACATGCAGAGGAAATCGACATAAGGATAGAAGCTAAAATGAACAAGGAAACTAGCCACAACTGAGTAGAGAATAAATACACTTCTAATGATAAAGTTGTCAAACCTTAAATAACGACAACTAGTTAGGGTATCTGTGACGTTGTGGTGTATTTTCAACTGTGTCATTTACAATATTTTAGCCAGCATTCTTTTTTATGAAGTATAGAAATGTGTTTCCAAAATCATAAACATATTCTGCCATTTTGTTTATTCGTTGGTGTTTTAAGCCGAATAATAGTGATCTAATTAAGAAATGACTTTTAAGTTCGTATATCCGAGGAATGCTTTTGTAGATTTATTGATTTACTCTTGGTCAGACTGTTCCTAATGTATGGTCTTCAGTTGATAGGACGCTAGGTTGGTAGGCGAAAGTTTTACAGTTCGAATTTTGCAGCAACCGATGTTTACCTTCAAGCATCATGCCCTTAAATTATTAACTTGCACTTATTATTAAAGCACTACCGTAGTAGAACATGAACATGATGAACTGTGCCCAGAAAAATAATATTATGAAGATCCTCAGAAGAGATAGACTAAAAATTACACTATGATCAAAAGAGGATAAACAGTCACAAAAATGCATCAAAAAGTTTTTAATTACTCCTGTATTCCAATATACAGTTAAAAGACATTACGGAACTATATTATTGCCACCATTGGTTCTGATTCTGAGTCATATATGACATCATCTGAATCCACTGAGTCTAATGAAATGACCTCGGGTGCTTACCCAACTATTCAGCATCCTACAACACCACAGAACAGTATTTTCTGCTTTCCAGTAGTAGTTATCTAACCTGTTTGAACATATGATAAATACCATCTTGAGATCGAATTTTGTTTGTCTCTTAGCCTCAACATTTGAATGATGACATTTCTGCTTCTGTTATAAAAGCACAATAATTATTTTGTGTGTTTGCCGATCAGTCAGTCTCCGTTTAAGTTTTTGATTATTACACATTTATGCGACTGAGATAGAACTAAATATGTTCACTGCAGGGAGTAATTCCACCTAACTCGTATGTTTTGTTCTTGTATACACGGTCCATTTGCAAGTTGAGGGTTGTCCTCCTCGTCTCATGTGTACGTATGGCTTCTTTTGTGAATTTACAGTGAGATCGATTCATTTTGAAGAAAAGTTATCATTAGATCTACTATTCTATGTTTAAATGCCTTTTTCTACGAATAACTTTGTTGCTTCCAACTGTGATTTTTTTAAAAAGAAGCAGAGCAAAGAAATGGACTTTTTCACATTCTATTAGGTATACCACTGCTAACAGTAGTGGACAAACTCAGTTGGAGTTTGGCCATAATACAGTAGCAGAAACGAAACAATTCCACATATTTAGCAAAAAGGTGCATTTTATCTAATGCCAGGAAGCCTGAATTATTTCATTTTATTAGTAGAGAATAGTAACCCAGCTTGGGAACAGAGAACTATACAACGACTATAGCGATTTACAACCAACCAATTAAGAAAAATTACCCAAACCCTTTAGTCTGTTCCTCATCTTGACTCATATCTAATCTCGTATAAATGCCACTATCTTCAGCCATGAACATGCATTTTTACACAAATACATTTGCATTAAGTCGGTTTGAAATTTTCATCTGACATTTTGAAGAATATACCATCATGTAGATAAACTATGTGTAATGTCTGTTTACTGTGAAGTAAAAAACAGCCATCTCTTCTTCTGAGCGCTGACCAACTTCTTTTTATTGGTCTGGACAGTTGAGCAGATACTTACCCCAGTTTTTAAAACATGTCTTGCTGACGAATCCCAATAAGCACATCACAATCGGTTTGTGTGTAATCTTGATTATCAAGCTATAATTATCACTTAGAAATAGCTTCAATTTATTGGAAAATATATCGGCTGTGTCTGAATTTGAATGTTATGCATCCAAGCGTTGATACTTAGTCGTGTACATTACAACACCATGCTTGGTGACATTATAAGCGCTAAATTCACTAGAAATTTTCACATAATCTTATATCCATTAGATCTGTGTTATTGTATACTGGTTTACATGAGAAATGAATGGTCATCCCGGCTTCTTTGACAAGTTAGTGGTGATGACATTGCCACACGTGGTGAAGGAATTTCCACTTCCACCTTCTGAAGCAACTACCCAATAACAGTACTTTTGCTTTTCTGACTATATTTTTTTTATGTATCAGTGCTGATTGGTATCATTGTTCTGCAAATACCCATATCATTCGGTAGTGCTGAGTTTGTGCTCATAATTCATTAAAAATGAATGTTGATATTTCTTCTCTGTAATCTGTTTTATTATAACCTCGACTGGATTTTCTTTCTCATTTCCTTCAAAACAGGTTACTCTTAAAATTTTTACAGAATATTCATTCAGAGCCAATGTGGCATGGATATTTGTATGCTGTAGCTATATTTATTGATACAAGTGTTCAGTCGGTTATACTACAATGCTATTTTCATGTTGTATTCAATCTTGGTATGGATATAAAAACAGGAATAACAGCAGCTGTCTATAGGAAAGTGAGTCAGTATTGTGTAATCGTGTGTAGATTTTTATGTATATCCGTCAACTGTTTTGTTGTATGACTGTCATACACAAAAATACTTGATTAATTGAGCGAATCACACTGTGGAGATATACTCTGTATTGGAATGCGTGAGTAAATTACCTATTAATAGATATGACATCAACGACAACAAATTTTTGAAGTGGATACATACACATACTGACTAGGCAGCCAGTGTGAATACTATCAAGTGGTAGTAACGCTTCACGAATTTAAATGGTTGTCGGGCAAAAGCCTTGGGGATTGGAGTGAAATAAAAGTCTGGTCAAAAGTTGGACCTCATAGCTCAGTTGATAGAGCACCGAATCGGCAACCCGCTGGTCACTGGTTTGAACCCAGCCGCGGTCCAGATTTCCACCTACCCTCGATCATCACTCAGTATATAAACATACAAATATAAACATACAGTTTGTACCTCTTGTAAGACCAACGAGATATCCGACTACCTGCTAAGAATCGAGTGTAGCTGGCTACGGTTCACTCTCTTCTAGTACATGTCTATCAACAATAGCCATTAAAATTAGGTGACACAGGAAGGTTGCAGGTGCTCCACCGCTGTTTCCGCAGAATATCTGACGTGTAGCGTAGTGACCACATGAGTAATATAGAAGTTGAGTGTGCAGTTTTAAGTGAAAGAGATCATCCAAGTGATGAAGTTGTATGTCTTCATCGATCGAAGTGGTTGGGATACGCCTTTTCCAGTTCACTGTATTGGTTGTAGTAGTATTGTGAAATTATATAATATAGTAGGAGTGAGTGGAAAATAAGGGACTTTATTACATATTAGATGGTTGGAGTCAGCCTGCAGGAAGCCCTTCTCCATTTCAACTTCATAGTTTCGGCATTCATCCGCTGTGCACATCTTCAGACTTGGGGGAACTAATGGTTCCTCATAGTGGAAAGTTTTCCAATGATGAACAGGCTGGACTGATTTCTGTCTGTTCATGTGTTAGTGAAGTTAAGAGTGAAATTTGTTCTAGTGAGATAATTCTGTGGATAAAAACCATCTCAACAAACTCATGCATCTTCATTGAAATGGATAATGGGTTAATTCACATGTGAGTGATAAATTATCAAAAGAGACATTATCTGAATTTGCGAATATATCACACCGATTTTGGAAGAAATTAGTAATTGATTTGAAAAGCGCCAGAACAGTGTAAAGTCATGAGGTTTGTTCAAGATAGGAAAGTGATTTAGTTGAAAAGTATACAAGAATAAACGGTCCAATCTTTCGTTTTTTAGACTTATTCCTGTATCATTATTAATGTTTGTTTTTTCCGCTTAAGAGTTTACGATTGAGTAATAAAGCTCGACATGAGTCAACCACTGGGCAAGTTATGAATTTATGTCATCTGATGCTCAACAATTCGTTCAGTTAATGCCATTTATAAATATCCTATGGTCAGGACCTTTTCAAATAACAATCTCTATGGTGCTGCTTTGGAGAGAGTTAGGACCTTCGGTACTGGCTGGTGTTGGCGTTTTACTACTTCTACTGCCTATTAACGTTCTTGTAGCACGTCGATCTAAATTCCATCAAGTAAGTTGTAATCAGTGAATTTTGATGTTGTTTTCAAGATGCAGTTCACCACATACTTTAGTGTATAAAACACTTCGGAACCACTTGCGTCTGTTTTCAGTGCTTCTGGCGGAATTCCATCTGGTCCTGCTGCTTTCTCGGATTTCAGCAGCTTTATGGCGTTCAGGGCTTCACTCCTGCTGTCATCGGAGGGCTTGCGTTCACTGGTAATTCTGTGGCTGGGTTGCTGGTGGTACTTCTGGAAGGGTTGCAGGTGGTGGTGGTCAACTCAAGAGCTTTTCGAAGTGGTCAGCCCATCGTTTCCTTTGTTTATCCTCTTTGGTAAAGAAGTTTCCTTCACAATCTTTCATTGGTTTCATCTGTGTTGATCTCTCCCACCCCGAATAGTAACCTGGTTATTTGATAGTCTTGTCACGTCTCTACTACCAGCAGCCTGTTCTGCTTCACTTGCCAGTGTGTCGTAGAAGTGTCTTTTGTCTTTGCACGCACTCTTCTTTACTTCTTTGTCCAATGTAGTGTTTTATAGGTTGTGTTCAGTTCCTCTCCACTTTCTTGAGATTGAGATGAAGTCAATCTGATTTTTAGTGTATCCCGGTGTCTGGTGAAATCAAATCCATGTCGCTGCCTTGTGAATAATCTTGTGTTTCTACACAGTGCCTCCAATCACCAAATCGTTGAATCCGCAGAAGTCTGCAAACAGTTCAACATTCTCGTCCATTTCACTTAGTACTTCTCGATACACGATCAGTACACTTCCTGTGTTGTCCGCTCCCAGTTTCGCGTTCATGTCACCCACAAGAATGAAATTTTATGTCTCCATCTGGGGCCGGGCCTTGTCTACTACTGATTGCATTTGTCTGTAGAATTCCTCCTTCTTCTCTTCATCTGCATTATTTGTAGTTGAGTAGCGTAGCATTGTACGATTGTGACTTTCCTTCCTTTTGAGTTGAACCTTGCTGTCATGATGCTGATCCATCAGGAGGAGATTGGTTCCCATTGTCTGAGAGCCTTTGATGATCTTGGGGACATTATGATAGCCACTCGAAAACTCAGTGTGCCCGTGGTTGTCGTTTGAGTGACAATATCGGAGTAGATTATTGACTCTCCAGTTGACAGTTTGGAGAGCCTACTTCCATTCCATCTGATTTCGCATATTCTCAGCCTAGCACTTCTATGCTATACCTTCTCATCTCTTTGGCAATCTGGACGCCCTTGGCAGCCAGCTTCATACATGGTGCAGACATTCCATGTCACCATGCTTACTTTTGCTTTCATTGAGAGAGGTGAGGACACATCGGTCGACTGACTCCTCGAACGTTTTCACCTACTGGCATCACCTCGTGTCTCCTATTCCAGCGTGGAATAAGTTTGTTTTTATTCTTTTATATTTTCTTTATGGTTTGAGGTATCTTTAGGGATCGGGTTAGTTTTCCGGGGTAGGGTTGCTAGCCCTATATCCAGCCTTCCTTCTTTATTCGGGCTTAGGACCGGCTAGTAACTAGTGAACTAGTTAACTACGCTGTCTACTCTATGTGAATTAACAAAATACGTGTTTTTGAATTGAAATCACCTCAGTAATTGTTCTACTCTGAACTAGACAAAGCTTGATTTCAGTTGCGACTTATTTTTCGCTGCCGTAACAGGATGACTGAGTATCTTTTACATGACCGTATATACTGAGTAAAATTACATTGCAATCGTGAATTTTTTACGCCCAGTTTTTCTTTTTTCAGCCTCACCCTACTTTAGCTTTATTGTTACTCATAACCTTTCAACTCGCAGTCGGTTGCTAGTTTGTTGGCTGCATACTCACGTAGATATGAATAGAGAAAGAGAGAGGACTGTCATTAAAAGAACTTACACAATGAACTTGACTTTTAGTGTCACTAATATCACACAATCGGTGGACATGATTTGCATATTTCTCTAGTTGGTGTAAATTAAATGAACAAAGTTAAAAAGTGAATTGAAAAAACTCAGAATTCTAAACACCTTTATAAGTTTCTTATTTTTATATGATTTGGTCTTTGCTTTACTAAGTCATCTAACTATCTTGACTGAAAATATTGTCCGAACTTGAAAAGGTACCAAAACTTGAACTAGTGGCCTGCAGAAGTTTTTCTTTCAGTCACAACAACCTCTTGGCACTTGGAACAGTTTATTAAAGTAAAGCTATTTTAGATAGTCTAATCACAACAGTTAATGACGTTTTCTGTGTAAATCTCTACAGCTGACATGTGAACTGTTAATGTGGCGGCACCATGACGTGCAGCTTGTTCTATGGAGGCAGCGGTGGTCGAATATCTCAAGCCTTCTGATGGCTTATATTTAATGACCATGGGAAAAGTTATAGCAACTAAAATAGTTCTTTTGTTGATATTGGTCCTCGATGAAAACCTCTTTTCGGGATGAAAATTCCCTCTACATGTTAGTATGCCAAGATGTCTCTCTATCATAGACATTTTCTGAAAAACCAACTGAATTAAGAATATTTAAGTTACAGAACCGCATACCTGTTGTGTATGGGTGACAAAACAATTTCTCTTCCATACCTGGAATCTTGTTTTGGTGACGGAATATAGTCCGCAGAACAGATTGTGAAAATATGTTTCTGTCATGCTTTTCGTAGTCGATCTCATCGCCTCAAAGGTCATGTTTACAGTTGAACGAAGCATCTTGCTTCATTGATTATTGGCTTGCATATTGACACTGACAACAAACACTTTGATTAGCTTACCAGAGGTTTTCTTCGTTCTGAAGTTCAGAAAAAAACTTTTAGCACTGCAGGATTCTAAACGTAACACGTCCGCGTTGTCTGTTCAGTGCTGCCTTAACTGAATTATGAGCCCTAACTACTAAACAGGCTCTATTATTCTCTCTTCAGTCACCCCACAATCATAGTTTTGTGGCGTTCCCTAACCTTTAGTATTTTACTATGGGGACTTCATCATACTTGGTTACTTTTCAACACTTCAGTAACAAATCTTGGGACTAGCAGTAGATATCAATCAGTGTTAAACTGAGTCATCACAAGACTACTTTAGTTACTTCCTGACCGTCCAGGTAAAAAAAGTGAACGATGATTCAAATATAAATTATTTGTTGGAAGGTGAAGGAAAATGAAATGCGATTTCTCCTTCTTAATCCGTAAATTGTGCTCCTAATCGAATGAGACAGTTCTAGGGTAAACACTAAGCTCTATTTTCCAAATCATCTTGTGAAAGATATTGTGCTATATTCCTTATTAATCAGTTCGGTCTTCACACTTAAATATCTATGTTTTTAACTGGTGGCTAGTTGGGGGGATTTTATCTTCATGGTCGAGTTGACGTGTTTAGAACTATAAAAATTTATAAAATACTTCCATTTCTTATGACTCGTTCGAAAAATCACAGCAGCAAGGTCATGTCTACGATTATGATAGTGTGACCACGCTATTGGTGTGACATTTGTTTTCGTCTACTGTTATCCATATCCTCATAGATGGTCCAAACAACACGGACTTTGGTTGTAGCTAAGATATGTTTCTGGAACAAATACCTCTTAAGCTTTTCTTAACAAAGAGTGAAATGAGCTTTGTTATACTGAATATAATTGACTTGCACTCATCGGCATATTGGTGTCCATTCGGATTCCTGGATATTATCTGGAGATTCATTAAGTTATATTTCGCCTATCACGTGGAAATTAGTAGTAGTTATAAATGAAAACTGGTACCCGTTGGACAAGAAGTGACTCTTGTTACTCGGTGGCCTAGCGGATAACTATTTGGCGTATGAAGCGACGGATGCTGGGTTCGAGTTTCACTGGAAACACCACCTCTCACCGGGATGTAAGTCGCAAAGGAAACGAAGCGTGTCTCAGATTTCACTGCTAGCCACCCGTCAAGAAAATTGTAGCCTGATGAAATAACTGTTTTTTCCTTTCGGTTGGAAAAGTAGTTTTCGCGTAAAATACAGACATATAATTAGCTATTTCTGTTACTACTGTGATGACTTTTAGAGCTACTACCTGAAATACAAAAATTGTTCTTCAGTGCAACAGTTATGGCTACAATATCATCATCGTTGGCAAATAGAGGGTAAAAGATAAAGTAATCATGTGACGTGTGATCTGTGTTGCCTTTACGTATTTTAGGGGAAAGAATAAAGACAGGTCAGATCAGTCCAGTGGGAGGGGGATTCAAACAAAAGGAGAGGAATTCGATTGGTTGATTTCCATTTTTTTTTCAGTGAGGCGTTATGGTCGAAGTACGCCTTACATGGTCACTGAAGAAAATTAAGAGTTTGGTTGAGGTATTTATTTACCGTACGTGAACTGTAAGATTGTAGTCAACGCTAGAGAAACTTTGAAAAGGACTCTTTCCCTTCCATGTATTATCACAATCGAAGTTTGTGCGCGACTCTAATGGCCACTGTAGCAACTACTGAAATAGCCAATTAAGTTTAACTATTTGCAAAGAACTAAGCAACAAGGAACTCTGGGAACGAACCAACCAAGAACCTATCACGCAACAAATATGCAGGAAGAAGTGGAGATGGATTGGCCATGCACTGAGAAGGCCGACTGAGGACATCACGCGTCAGGCCAGTTGCTCGAGTGGAATCCCCATGGGAAGCGACGAGTTGGACGTCCCAGCTGAGGGTGACATGGAGGAGGTCGTGCAAGGAGGAAATGAGAGGTTGTGGGCTGTCGTGGGACCAGGTTCAAAAGATCTCAGAGAACAGAGGTCACTGGAGACGTGCTACTGAAGCCCTATGTTCCACTAGGAACCCAAGGGACTAATAATAATAATAATAATAATAATCTTTTCAGCACTTGCTAGGGTAGCCTTTAGAGTCACTCAAGTTTATTTGCTGGATAGTATTTTACTCCTGTCATCGCAAGAATACTTGACTCAAATATCCATCGAATTCAGATCCTTTTTCACCCGACAAAACTGAGATGTAATCGAAGCATGACACTTTACCCTGAGTTAGCCTTTGTTGGTCTGTCATAAGTGGTCCGAGACTCATACAACTCAGTAGCTCAAAAGCCGTTGGATTTCTTTGAAAACCAGAAACGGTGACAACCATGTTATAGTTTCCTTGTTTCATCTATCACTGGGAAGTAAGATGAAACCAATGGAATCCCGTTTGAGTGTATCTTATAAGAGTTCTTTTCTAGTAATTCTGTCGTTGTGCTTCCTATTCTCCCTTTTGTGTTGTTGATGGCACGTTTCTTGGATCCTAAGATATATTATGTTTGTGTTTTGATGAATACAACGGAAATATCTTAGATATTTCCAGCTATCGATTTGATTTCATTTGGAATGATTCCAGCTCACTGCTCTAGAATTTCACAACATTGTCAGGTTCATTTTGATCTATCATGGAGTCAATACTTTCCTTTCAATATGAGGCGTGCAAAGTATCAGTTCACATAGTCGCTGCTTGGTGTTTTATCCCAAATGGTAAATTGAAGCCGTTCGGTATTTCAGTAGTGTCAGTCTAACTTTAATATCTTAGTTACATCTTTTTAGTGTCTTTTATCACCTGTCTGTTATATTTAGTTGGAGTATGTCTATAGGTCTTTTGTGTATTGTGAAATTGTTAGCTACGCAGAACATGCATATTCAAGTTTACTTTAACTATCAGTTACGTCTGACATTATCCTTCACATCGAACTGTCCTAATGGTCATAGCTCATCAAATCGAACATCAAACTTTTCAGCAATATTTTCGCGGTTCACACTTCTATCTGGGCAAGTTGGACAGATCCAGATCATCGTTTCAATCTAGTTCGGAACCTTTTACCAGTTTCTAACCTTGACTACCTAGTTAACAAAGTTCCGCGGAAGAAATACGCATGCGAAGAAACAGAAGATGTTCACACTAGTCCCAATGGACTAAGTAACGTTAGTAATAATACATGAAGACCTTCTTCGCTGACGAACTATTTAAATCACAGAAATAGGAATTTTTGAAGTATTTATTGCTGTTTCTGTTTATAGTTGTCTGTCTCGTGATCCTTGCATTTGTTTTCATTTATATCTTTATTTGTAGACGTGTCAATTAGATAGCTTGCATGTTTCACCTCCTCTCTCTCTGTGACTAAACCTGAAAGGAACAAGGAAGAATAAGTTATCAAAATGTGTTTAATGTCGGGTATTCCAGTTGTCTGTGTTTATGTGTGTGTCAAGCAGCAGGATATGGTCTGTCTGCTCTAGAGGACAGTGAACGAAACGGATAAATTGTATGATAAGAGAGTTTATAAATAGTTCATGGGATTCTGTATAGCTATTCAAAACGAATTTCACTCCTATAACATGCACACTGTACAGATTTGAATGTAACTCAGTCATTAAATCGTTCATTTTTATGATAGACTTCTTTTCAGGTTCAAAATTCAATTATCGTACACACCTGATTTAAACAAATGTCTGCTGTATGCATACATGTTCATGGCTAATTGATATTCTCTGTAAATAGATTAAAAGACAGATAAATGGAGAAACATATCCTCTTAGGAAGGCAGGTATGGGTTGATGCCATGAGCAGATACTTACCCCCTTCGTCCCCCCCTTTAGACTACAACAAATATAAACAAATTTGAAAATAATACTGAGGATGATATCCCCCACTTCTATTTTTTGCTCTTATTTATTTCCAAGTTTTAAATGTTTAATTTCTAGAAAAGTGATGTTAAGCTATGGTGTTTCTTTATATAGTCGCTATTATCGTCATCATATTTTCTCTCCCATTCTCATTTGAATCGGAGGTGCTTACTCGTATTGAGAGGTTTACACTAGGCAGTGAATTGCACCTCTGCAAGTTGGTAGTTTCAGAATTGAGAAGTTGATCTGGAAAATTTAACTGTCCCCATTGCGTTAATTCTCATGCACTGCTGATGAGCTGGGTCGCAGACTTACTGCATCATCATCCAGTTTTTTCGGATCACTTTGATCTTGCTTACGAGTACTGCCAATCACGTCAATAGTAGCGTAAATGTTTCTCATTGGGCAAATGAAATATATATAGACGCAGATTTTGATGCTTTAGTATCCTAACTGAAACATGATTTCTCATCAAGGCTATCGTCACACTTTAGTGATAAATCTACGTGAAAGCCTATATCTATCTGTCGCCTAAATAATGCAAGTTACCTACACTGAAATATACAGCTTTTCCGATGGTCACATTTTGTTTCTTCCTTTACTTATCACTAAAGATGTATGTTTTTATGGCCTTCACTGCTAGTAACTAACTTGTTATTGATTTTTATTTGTGATTTTCCTGTTTTTCTTGATGTGACTCAGTAGCCTAGTGAACAAAGCTGGCATTCAAAGTGATGATTATTGGGTTCAAGTTTCGATAAAAAGACAGGCAAAATAATTCAGTTTGCCGAATCCGTTTCAATGATAGTGGGGTCGATTACATAGGTGAAAGTGGTCGACCAAGGTCAATTAGAATAACAGGACAAAAACTTACTTAATTCAATATCAGTAGATCTCAATAAGCTGAGGAATTTATAGACTAACTCGGCTATAGCTATGTATGCAACCGGACACAACAGGGTGGGATAGAGCGACGGTATTGAAAACTAACTTAGTTGGGGTGGAGAGAGAGATTGATAAGCTACTTTTTATTTTTGGAATCAACACATGATACATGCAACAGGAATGGTTCTGCACCTGTTCTAGATATACGGAAAATTCCACTGACCCTATTACAAGGAAGGAGAGAGAATTAGAGCTATATAAACCATGTTTCAAAGTTGTGGAGATATCTTATATGAAAATGAACAATAAATTATCCCCGAAATGTTATCCAGAAAATAATACTGTTTCACTGTGTCATATTTCTAACAAACAGACTAAAATAGAATAACGAGAAAACCAGAAGCCACAAAATGTAAAATGTATTCCATTTTTTTAATTGCGTTGCAATACAAATAAATCAAATTGCCTTCGATACTAGTACATAAAATATTTGTTCAAATATTTGAATAAAATTACGCGGGTCAGATAAAAATGAACTAAACGCAAAGATAAATGAAAATATGATGAAAGAAGAGAATGAAATGACTGGTTGTCTTTTCTTGATATTGAAGTAGACAGTGAATAGACCATATCCCACTCATAAGTTGTACGTCTTAGTGAAGTCCGTTAATCACACTGTCCTGCAGATCACTGAAAGTAAACTTCAGACCATTGACTATTCATTATTCGTATACAAACTAATTCAGAGTGATATAGTGAAAATAAACGCTAACCTTCATATTCATATGTGATCTCTTGTGGTAATTAGTAGTGAAATCTCTTAAATGCACATTACAAGGAAATAAACACCTACTTGTTTCTAACTAATAGGTGCAAATTCATTGAACAGCTTGTTTTTTCCCAGTAAATATTTTATTCTGAGCAAAACGGAAATATTTCTTTAAGTGATAAACCAAGAATTTTCTCATAAATTCTTTTTCCACCATTTGTTTTGCCTCCCTTAATTGCATAACAACAAAATAATTTTTTTAGGAGAAGAAGTCTTCCAGCGCAGATAGTCGGATTAAATTGATCAATGAATTGATGAATGGGATACGAGTAAGTCTATTTTTTTTAATCTTTTTCTTTTGTTGTCAGATTTATTGTACCGTACACGAATTGATCATAGACTGGCAACAGAGGTAGTTGCCGAACCTTAAGTGCTCAATACTCAACGATCAACTTTAATCATATATATATATATATATATATATATATATATATATATATATATATATATATATATATATATATATATATATATATATATAGCTTACTTTAGTGAATAAAAATACTGTCTGATTAGGGCCAAATTTAGTTAAAATATCTTACTGTCTCATTCCTGTGTCTAATTTCACTTGGTTTCACCTTAGCAATGTATGTAAAATAAGACCAGGATGCCACTCACGATTACTATCAACAATATTTGGTTGCACTTTTCTTCTGAATGCGCCACTGTGATTCACATAAAAATAATCAGATTGATACTTCTTATACTAACTCTAACGATGATTATGTTAGTTGACACACCGAACAGAACATACTTTCAACCATGGTGTTCATTTGAGAAAGCATTTCCATGAAGAAGTATCGATGACAATCATAAAATAATGTTGTAATCATCAAGTTCTGATACCTCGAAAACGCTGATATGATGAATAGTTATTTGAACCCCAAACTGCTTGGCCATACTTGATAATTTATGGCCACAACTTTCATACAGCTGGGTCATTTTGATCTATAGATGACTGTTTTTAAGTAAAAGTGAGTAAATATCAAAGAACAATATGTTTACTGACTGGCAACGTGGGTATATTTCGTAATTCCAGAATAACTCATGCAATAAAGTGATTTATTTGCAAGAGATGTGACTGAGATAATACACCTTTTAATCATATATCAAACATGTGATATTCAATCAACAAAGGTAATGGAAAGGTTATTAGCCAGATAATGTTTTTACCGATTGAAGTGTAAGGGTGCTTTGAAGGATACCGACTTGCAAATAACCGCATGAATGGAATACAACTTAGTCATAATTAGAAATTAGTCATTTCATCTCAGCTGCTAGTGGGCTGAACTCCTAATCCGGAAATATGTAGGTCAGAACATCAGCTTCTAATTCTGTAAGAGATAACTGAGTACTTGGATTATAGAAACGCCACCCGAAATATCTCATTTGCATATATATACTCTAACTTACTCCTCTTTTATAGGTGTTAAAACTCTACGCTTGGGAACCGTCATTTATGAAGGAGATTGGTCGTATCAGAAATCTAGAAGTGAAATACCTGCGAAAATTTACATATTTACAGTCTATATCATTCCTATGGCACTGTTCACCATTTTTGGTAAGAATTTTTTAAAACAACTGGTCCATTTTGATAAAGTTAAACAGCGTAATGAGAAGACGAAGATTATTAGCGCTGTACAGTTTGGACAACCTGATCACACATGGACTCATCAAACTACTCATATGAGAATTAACGTAAAGAGTCAATGAAGTCCATAGGAAACATAGAAATAGGAAGGGCAGAGAAAAAAACAAAGTCTAAATCGCATCACTCTTGGTGTGAAAATTAGAATCAATACTACCAAGGTATGTTCAACGTGAGTACAGATTGCTCTTGAATACATAGGAGGGTTTGAATTTACGGATGGCAAGTGCTTTAATAAATTTAAGCACTCAGCCCTGACCACTTTTATGTAGTACTTTAAAAGTTGTTTTCATGTCTAACCTGTGATTAGTTTCTAGTATGTGTTTAGCAATAGATGTCACCTACACTTATCGGATCTGTTGAGGTCATTTATTTTTGAAGCCACTTAGGTACATGTTCAACCATCCTTAACTGGATATCACGATTACTTCTCTCTACGTATCTGTCCACATATGCATGTCAGTTGATAAAGACAGTGGGATTTGATCCAATCGTTTATATGTTGCTTTGGTTTGTTGTAACATGGACTTAGTCTTCGCTGCAATGGTGACCATGGCTTCATAGTATGTTTTACAGATCGCTGATCTAACCCTCTTGTTCACAATAAAGCTATGTGGATCACCTCTAAATGATAATGAGATGTAGACATCTTTCTTAAGAACGGAACACTATACTTTTCAATGCAGCATAACTTCTGAACCTGTTGATAAATTTCAACGGGTAGTCATTCTGTATGAATATTGTTGTCAGTAAATTAGTTTCTTCTTCCTTTGTGTCATCAGTCCAGATGTGGTTTATCCTGTTGAATCAGTATGTGTGGGACAGATACGTAGAGAGAAGTAATCGTGATATCCAGTTAAGGATGGTTGAACATGTACCTAAGTGGCTTCAAAAATAAATGACCTCAACAGATCCGATAAGTGTAGGTGACATCTATTGCTAAACACATACTAGAAACTAATCACAGGTTAGACATGAAAACAACTTTTAAAGTACTACATAAAAGTGGTCAGGGCTGAGTGCTTAAATTTATTAAAGCACTTGCCATCCGTAAATTCAAACCCTCCTATGTATTCAAGAGCAATCTGTACTCACGTTGAACATACCTTGGTAGTATTGATTCTAATTTTCACACCAAGAGTGATGCGATTTAGACTTTGTTTTTTCTCTGCCCTTCCTATTTCTATGTTTCCTATGGACTTCATTGACTCTTTACGTTAATTCTCATATGAGTGGTTTGATGAGTCCATGTGTGATCAGGTTGTCCAAACTGTACAGCGCTAATGTATCACATGTTTTTTTGATAATCTTCGCCTTCTCATTATGCTGTTGTTGAAAGAATTTTTAATTTATTTTGTTTTGTATCTTAACTACGTAAATTGAATGGATGGCTTTGAGAAAGAGTTCAACTGACCACGAGTTACATTCTAGTTGCCTACTGTGTACTTGTAAGTTGAATGAAATATGAACATGGGACCTACCAATTTTACAAAAGTTGAGGAAACCGCATGGATGAAAGTTCAAAACCATTCGTCAGACTCACTAAAATTCTAGTTAGCGTTTGGGTTGTAATGCAGATGCAAGTCAGCAACCACGTGCAGCTTCATGTACTACACTATAATCCACACTTATTGTATGACGGCTGATGATACTATTTGACTGCTCATATTTTGGTAACCTGAATGGAGTTTGAAGTCTTAGCTCACCGGTCGAAAACAGAAGGTCTAAACCAATGTTCCACAGCTACACTCAAAGTACGATAGCCAGAGGTGATTCTCTCAGACTGTATTCCATCACTAATTACTGCAGTCCGCAAGAAAAAGGAAACACCTACCTTTAGTTACCACAAGGGAAATAACTTTCTCCACATGGTCTTTCTAGCAGCCATTTTCATCAGATAACTGATTAGGATTTGGGAACAGAAAGCAAGAGCACAGGTTTCGGACCCAATGCGGCATGAGTTCATCATGTCTTTACTTTTCATTCTGCGGTACAGACACACCGTCGCTTCACACTAGTCGTGTTTCTTCGTCTGAAGGAAACATTAAAATCCATCGATTGAAAGGTCGCTTGATAGAGTTGTCCGGTAAGTACATTACTTTGTTGAAGGCTTTGTACTTTTTAACGAGCATGAATATCAGAACCGATGGTGAGCTATCCTGTGACACGTATATGTCATCTAGCATCATTCTAAAACATTTACTCTCTCCACTTTTATTGAGTTTCACTACATAGGCCTACTTTTTTCTGTCTATAACGTGATATTGTATATTGGTATGTTTTTTCTTTTCTTCGTGTCTTAGTATACCCTTTGTGACTAGAGGTATCATTATTTTTGTTTCTCTCCTCTTCTCTTGTTCTCAAGATTTACTTCAGTGTATTGATATGAGGCGTGACAGTTTGAGCCACTAAGCAATGATACCAGGTTCCACTTCATTGGCAGTTGTTGGTCTTTATTAACTGTCACTTTAATCACTTCGTCTTATGTTTTGAAAATGACAAAGTTGTAATCTAAATATCTATTATGCGTAACTGCGATAATTTGAACTGTATCAGTAGTTGAACCGTATTTTGTAATATCAGTCAATGAGATTATGATTCATATACCAAATGCAAATTAGACTACTGCCTATCTAGTGGCAACATTTATGATTTGTAAGAGCAGTCAAGTACATGTGTTACTAAGGTATTCGGAACAACCCACATTCAGTTTTCACTGCTTTTGTCTCTTGTTAGTAGTGATTTCATTGACAAATTCCTCTTTAATCTACTAAAAATTGCAGCTATTTGTTCCTTTAATTATCACCGCCGGTGTCATCGCGTTTTGGGATCACACATTGAAATTATTGATTAATATTTTTTCACTAGGATATCTGCTATCAATTTCTAGTATATTTCTAATAGAAAATCTTTTTAGTGGTTTACAGGTACAAGAAATAATAACCACCTTTTTATACTTTTGATCGCTTAACAATATATGTTATTTACTAATCTTCTGTGGATTAGATTTTATGTCGTTCGTTTCGTCAATTACTGGTAAGAATGACGGTGTTCCAAGAACGATACTTCGCAGTTAGGAACAATTTCTTTTCCAGTTGCATATTGACTGAAATTGCTTATTGGATGACTTGCGTAGTTATTTCCTTCTTGGGGTGCAGCTACACATTATCAACATTGGAACTAACACTACTGGGTAACAGCCTAAGTTGCCACAATTCATATCAGGGGCTCGTAGCTCAGTTGGTAGAGCACCGGGCTGGAAACCCGGTGGTCGCTGGATCGAATCCCGCTGCGGTCCGAATTTCCATTTCACCTTCAATCATCACTCAGTATCATATCAGGATATCAAGCGACAATGTGCCAAGACGAAAGATAAAGAAATGAGGAGGAAAGTAGTAAAAAGTGATGAAAAGATAACAACTAGGAATGAGACAATAATGAAATTTAGCATAATGATTAAGATGAACATAATGTGTACATACATCTGTGTCACAGGTCGATTATGAGTCATATTGCAGGGTCTGGAACCAACGATTTATCCCGTCATGCGGACGCCAACCGGGTAGTCTTACATTTCCCCACATAGTATAGATCAACGGTTAAAGACATCAGGGACTGATATCATGTTGTAATCTGGTCACCTCTGACCTTTTCTTGACCTAAATCTTCTCACAGATATCCCAACCACCTGAGTCGATGAAGGTTCACAATCATACCGTCTGATTTTCATCTCCCCAAAACACTACATCTATAGTAGGAGACAGAAAAATGTAGCTCAGTACACCTGACCCTTAATAGAGGATCGGATATCACCGCGGAGCTATATATAGCGTAAGTTGATGAAACCCAGTTGAGACTTTCATATCCGTGCATTGTCCGTACTCTGTTCAATGCCAGTCTGTTTATTCAATGTTTCATATGTCACCATGGTGTTTCATGATTTATCATAACTTATATACTGTTCGTCTTTCCGTCAGCAAACATTCAAATACCGGTCTCAACACCATCAAAAAATAAGACAATCCTATGGTTATATAACAGTATTTTAGTCTTTTTTCGCTTTGGAAAAACTGGAATGTTTATTGAACAAGCAGATTTAATGATTATTTCCCTGTCGCATCAATAATTTATTTCCTTGCAGATTTTGTATTACTGTCAAACTTTACTGTTCAATAACTGTGAGAATTCGAACAGCTGTTCTACTAGCCCAGTTTTTTCATTACTCGTTTCATGTATCCATGATTTTTATCGCTTACAAAAACCGTGATTTTTTTCTTGACCGAAAATTAGAAGGATCGATAGTGTGGCAGTTATTCCTTTTACAGTTTATAGGCTAAGGACTATGCTTATAAAGAGAATTTAAAAAAAATTGTTTGACAAGTGATACAACATTTTCTAATGTCCACTGCTATGTGAGTAACTCCATCTTATTTTATATCTTGACTTCATTCTTCTGCGTGTTAGCTATCAGTCCTTGTTGATTGATCATTGGGACTCTAAAATGTCGTATGGAGTTTTATATTTACGTTGGTATACGATTTATATCTATACAGTTGTTTATGTACACCCTTATGCATGGATCCCTTTGATCATTCCAAGGACTGGTAAGAGTTTTTCCAGGTGAAGATGAAGAGGCTGACTATTTTCTCTAGCATAACTGTCTATTCGTTTATGTAGTGAGTTACATAACTATTCTAATCACCTTTTGCTTTCAAAGTGTTTAGGAAAAGTAATTATGCTTCATATGAATATTTTCAAAACTGTTAAAATTTATCTCCTTTTCATGCCGACATTGTTGTTTATCGATAAACCATTCACCCTTGGGGAGTGAACAGCTTTAGTATCCCCTTTTCAATCTTATCGAATTTGTCTATATACTGTAGTCATGAACAGCCCCATTTGACTTATCTGGGAGGATTTATCCAACTTCAAAGCAATTTCCATTGCTGCTTGATATCAACTAAAGAACCATAAAAAACTACCAAACATTCTACGGCTGTTTTGTCCTAATTTGCAATTCCTTAACTGTTCTCACCCATGACCTCGTATATGACCGAACTCAGGATCATTAGTTTTAAGAAAGAAGATGAAACCTTGACAGTCAATGCGTTGCAATCTAACAGCTCATCTTTTCGAACTTCTGTCAATTCATACAATATCATCGGTGAACATCTGTTTTTATACCTGCATTGCATGATAAGTCTTCTCATTAGAGTTTCAAGAGATTCATTTTTAAGCTAGCTGCTAATGAGCAATAGATTTTCGTTTCATTGAGTGGTTTCTTCATAGAAACAGTAGATACTAAAACTGTTTCAGTTGTCAGTCGCCACTGGCTACTCATTCTCCATGCTCTCATGTTTTTTATAATAATTATTTTTTGCGGCTTTTTGGTATTTCCACAAACCCAGTAGACATGTTATTCTGTTAAGCTTCGTGTTATTTTCCCCTCAGTCGTTTCCTCTTGCTTAGCTCATGATACTAATTTTTAATTAGTGTGTGTAGGTTGACTGCAAAAGCGTTGTATCGTGTTTGGAGGCTGCTAACAGAAAGATGTACAAACCAATGCAAAACTTGGCACAGCAGCACATTTTTTAAAGTTGCCCCATTTTTAGCCATGATATTATTGAAAGAGAAAGATCTTCGAAGATGATTGAAATTGAGCAAATGTACATCAGTATTGTAGATTTTGAGCCATATAGCCACAAGTGTGCAGCGATTGATTAATAATACCCTGATAAACATAGACATGCAACCTTCCATTTCTTACACGGTGGTGGTATACCTTAACCTAGTCACACAAAACTTTCTTTCAACCTGATTCTAATTCAGCTAATACAATCCATCAGGTTGGCAAGTTGTGATTTACTGGTCTTTACACCTTTCTTAATTCCTTTTATGTGACTAATCTTACACAGCTAATATTTCCGATTGAGATTAATAAGCTTTTAAGTGTAAAAAGATTTTTCGATGTGTATAATAAGGGTGAAACTCAACAAAATATAAGTTTATCTACCAGGTATTGTGTGGTACTTGTGAATTACTGAAGCTGAAGAAGATGAAGCGATACTCTAACCTCCAGAACCTACTTCCTAAAAGTTGAATGTTCACACCGATAAGCCACATTTGCAGTTTCGTTCTTACATATTGCATCACTGCAATTTACTATATGTATAATCAGTTGTCAGTTCACTTATTTTCTTGTCTTTCTTCTGCAATTTTTATCCACTTTTAGGTTGCTATTTCCAGTTTTGGAGTATATATACTGACTTCTGAGAAGAATATTCTTGATGCACAGAAAGCATTTGTCTCATTATCATTATTTAATATCCTTCGATTTCCCTTATTCATGTTCCCTATGATTATAAGCAGTTTAGCACAAGTAAGTTAATATGATCATTACTGGTGTTGTATCACTTGTTTGCAACCTTTTTCCATTCGTTAGTCTTGCATCTAATATATGTTTACATATACCCAATGATATGCATTTATTGCTAGGCGGAACGAAGTAACTGGTCGATCTTTCACGGCTGTTTTATAAAGATATCTGTTAGTTTGCTGATGACAATCAGCAGGAAGTTCTGCTCAATCTCAATTTTCTGCTCATCGGTACTTATCACTAAGGCCTTTGTTAAACAGTGAGGAAATCGTTTTCTTATCAGATATCCGGACCTATATCACGCAGTGCTATTGTTAGACAAGTCACTATTCATTTGTTTAAGTTGTAAGTGATTTATAATTGGTGTGGATTAAACAGATCAATTCAGCCTCTGTGATGTTATTTAGTCCTGAATGCTTGTATAGTCGACTTCATAGGTTAACCTGCTTTGCCTAATGATGGCGCTGAATATGGAAGAAGTACTGAGATACTACTCAGTGAGCAAAATACTTCATATTCCATCACAGGTTTGAGTCTTCACCTTGTTGCGCCAAATCCTATTGAGTCTGTTCGATTTATCTACTTTATACTCAACACCAAATATGATACTAGGATGTCAGTTCACTTCACGTTTGGTCATTAGCTTTTGTCGAGTGACTTTAAAGGCCACCGTAGCAACAGCTGAAATAACCAATCACACTTCTATACTTTAAAAAAAATTTGCCTATTCAGCTAAAATGGAGAAACCTAACTGGTTATTTCTATAGTGACCTTTAAAGTTGCCCCTTTTTTCGTAGTCAATAGTATTTATTTTCAACCGGTTTATCTGACGTACTTTAAAAACTACTCTAGAAAACTACCAAAATTGCCAATTTATTTTTAATTTGTGTAAAACCGATATATCTGACCGAAATGAAGAGACCTAGTTGGTTATTCCAACAGTTGTTCAGGTGTCATTCATTTATTCCTAACTTCACTTTCCAAATAATCTTCAGCACAAATGCCTCTTAAATAATTACTAATAGGTTGATAGTGACCAATAATGAAGTCAAGAAAAATCAACTTTGATCAAAATGACCGACACAAAACGTTATATGGAGTAACCAGCCCATTGGTGAAGCATAATTTCATCTTGAAGTTATATTAGATGAACTGAAACTCTAATAGCTAAACAACTGTCACTAGTGGTACCAATTTCAAATGATATTTATGCTTGACCAGTTTCAATGCCTATTAATTCACGTCAATTTCTTAGTCACTTTGTAATATTTTTAATATTGTTACACATGTTTTCTTATCTGTTTCCCTACTTGAATCAATTGCACCTCTGCTTCACTGACCAGCTACAATTGATCCTCATAATTTACTGTCAAAGAATAGTTGATGTAACAATGCTTTCTTTGTATTGTGAATATCTTTTCCTATTTCGTTATTCTTCACTTCTTTTGTTTTTCTGCTAATGTTCCGCTTCTTTTTTTTCTTCCTCTTTCTTCTTCTATTCATTTGGATTGTTTCATTATACATGAAATGGATAGCGGGTGATGTGCAAAAGTATGCATTCTAATTACATTACAATAAAAAAAATACTATTACACATACGAATGGGTAACTCACAGATTGTTAGTCTATTTAGTTCACAATGATACTGCTGGCAAAATTAATCTCTGTTTTCAATGTTGTTGCTTGTATTTTCCCATCGTTGACTGAACTGAACTGATCAGTTTCTGTTGGTATACGGGCTCCTGCTCGGATGCCTCGATATTGGTTGTCGTCTCAGTTTTATGGTAATGATGGATAGAGACCTATCAATTCATCCCAATCAACGATGGGATAATGCAAGCTACAACATAAAAACTATACTCATCGCGTAAGAAGCGGCTTTCGTGTCTCAGTTGCCTGGTGGATAACATTATGGCGTTTGAAGCGACCGGTTCCGATTTTGAGTATTAGTGGAAACAACATCACTCACTGAATGGCAGTTACATCCACCCGACGAGTTCGAAATAGAACGAAACGCATATCTTGGATTCCACTGCTAACCACTACCCATCATTACCATTATCTTTATTTATTCAGATGGATGTTTAGTGATGTTAAGTTGATTTCATGTGTTACGAGGTAAACAGACAAAAGACAATACTTGATATTTTATTTGTGTATCCGAGTTGATCACAGTATAATAACCATCAAGTAGCTATCAAATCTCACGTCCTGACAGAAGCCAATCGATCAGATTTACACTGCAATCACTAAGTAACCGACATCTACCACCTAGTGACCAATTCGTGTACATACTGTAGGCCTGCATCAATGTATTCGTTATCCGAACAACTTTGTGATGGAGAACTTACTGTATATTAGGAGTTAATCAGCAGCAATTTGCCCCAGCTGTCGTACTTACTAGAGTCCATCAGCAAGGTGTTTCCTCAATCTTAAGGAAATCCATGGATTTTAGAGATATGAAATTCGCTAGATATAACGAAACATCCAATTTTCACCCAAAATTTCTATAAAAGTGAATTTTGACTTGGCGTTAAGTATGGTCTACTTCATATCAACTTTCATCTCCCAGTAACTAGCAAGTGATTTCAACTATTATTTGTGACGATGTACGGCTTCTTATATGGGAATACTGAGTCGACTTCTGGTCAAATGAATACTTATTTCCAGTGGCCTAAAGTAATTCACTTATTGTACTCATTAGTTGCTTTCTTTGAAACATGACTGGGTAAACATCAGAACCAACAAACTGTTAACTGAGTTTTATATGTGTGTATAACGAATTAAATCTTTGATTGTATAAAAATAAGTTGGTTCTATAATTCCTAAACTTCAAACTGCTCATAGGAAGACAAGTAGTCAATAAACAACAGAATAATGGCCCCCTTCAGATAGTAAGTTCTTACCAGCTAGCGTCTCGTCTGCTATCACAGCTGTGCAATAGTTCATTTCTGTCAGAGTTATCTTGAGTACAACAGATACTTCACAAAGGTTTTCTGGATACTTTATCAGCTGTTTCACTATCTGCCTCAAATAGTTTCATCACATGTATTTCCAAGTTTTCAACGAGGTCAGTCTTAACAACAAGTGATGAATACGATCTACTGTTTAAGTACGAAGGTCAATTCAAATTAATCAGTTCGTTTCTATAATTTCATGGGATTCTTGTTATTCCGTTTCAGTGTTACGTTTCTGTTGGACGTTTAACTAGATTCTTGGCTCACACAGAACTTGATTTAGAGTCCTACTCAAAAGAAGATACACCTGGTGTAGCTGCAGTAATTGAACGTGGAGTATTTGGCTGGGATCCAGAGGATGAACCCACTTTAACAAAGTAACTGGCCGCCTTTTTTTCAGTTATTACATGCACACATATTATACTTCATTAATGTTCTAGGTGGGTTTTTTGAATGTTTCAGTAGCATTCGTGCATTCGGCAGTTGGTTTTGTGTAGACAGATATTCTGGTGGTAAGCTCAGTGGAGTATTCCAGTTGTTAATTGTAGACACACTGTACGTTTGAGGATTACAGCATACCGCTGGTATGCAATAACAGGAAGTGATATGGAGAATCATCACAATATCATGCAATCATTGTTTTAGGTAAAATAGTTTCCCTGAAATTATTAGTTCTTCTTTGGATATGTCTACAAATGACACCTGTTGGAAGAGGAAAACTTGATCAATTGAAACTTTCTACGTGATCTTTAAAGATAAAGCATATATTTCATTCAAACTCTTCATACAAGAAGATTATCAGAAACTTTTGATTGCAGGTTTTCTGACAAAACTTTATTCTGAATTGGAATTGCTGATAATAGGTGTTGCTGGTCATGTGGACTTACAACGGCTGACGTAGTCCTGATATTCACTGCTCATTTTTACTCTGTGCTTATGGTATGTTGGCATGATCAATAAATACACTAAAGTTTGACATTGTTTGACTTCTTCAAGAAATACATGTTTACTAGGAAAGCTTGCTCTTCTGTGTCAAGAAATTCGAGTTTGTATGCTGACTGATGCATGAAGTTCAAATAGAGGTTCCTTGATACGATGGATTGTGTACGAAAGGATCAAGGAGAGGATCCCAGTAAAGCGTATGAGTCGTATTAATTAATGTTCCATTTTGACTACCTCAAAATTAAAAACAGTACAATTTTGCGAAGTTGATGACTATGTCATCAGTCAGTAAGATTGTGAAGATTATTTTTAGTAAGATGTATATTATAGAGGAATATTAGGCATAGTTTCAAAAACAAATACCTGAAGAAAGTATGTCATATTAATTGAAGAAATTCTTACAAGACTGACAAATTCAGTGTTCAGATCCAATTATGAGCAGGGTTTGTTATCAATCTACAGGCCATTTGTTTCTCTATAACTGGTTTCCTTTTTCTCCCTAATTTGTATCTTTTTTGTAGAAAGAACTGCCCTTCTTGGTTGTATTGTGTTCCCTGAGCTGGGCTTTTAATCGTGGAGCTTTCCTGCTGGCTGTCCCTCTGTTTGACCTCTAACACTTCTGTCTTCTGTCATTTTTCTCACTGGTTGATAGACTGGGTCTATGTCTATACATCTATTGATTGCTGACTGACCTGAATGCCAGGCTTCTAGGAATTCCCTGATATTCTTTGTATTTCCTCTGTCCAAGATTTTTACATTGTGAAAACTTAATTCACGTCCATAATTATCCACTTGAAATGAGTGATGAAATGTCGTGACGTTTAATAGCCAATTAGTGTTTGTGTAGACGAAGTCGATGAGGGTGACCACTTTGCCCAATATTTTGTTGATCACAGTTATTACAGTTGATTTTGTAAATGGTATTCTGGTTATCTTCTTTAGGCAGAGGAGGCACAAAGAATATCAGGGAATTCCTAGAGACCTGGCATTCAGGCCAGTCACCAATTAACAGATGTGTAGACACAGACCCAGTCTGTCAACCAATGAGGAAAATGATAAACGACAGAAAGGTCAGAGGTTAAACAGAGGGACAGCCAACAGGAAAATCTGTATAGTCAGTGACACAACAGTCAAGGGAAGTAACTAATCACAAACCAGTTGGTCAGATCAAGCTACTGAATCACTCACGGAGAGATACTGACACCTCACTTCACACTGAAGTTAGTGCTGATGATGTCGTCTAGCAAGACTATGAAACCTCCACGATTAAACAGCGCAGCACAGGGAACACAATACCAAAACCATCCACCTCAGCTACAAATATTCTCCACCATTTCAGAACTGTCCTTCATCCTTTTCCTATAATAATCAGTTCATATTTGTTGTTCATAGTAAGTAAAAAAGAATTTATTCAACCGACTGACTGACTCATACACACTCAAGTAAGGTGTAAAAAAAGACCTTTGTTGTAGTTCATTTTCTTTCAAGGAGGCTGTGTAAATTCATTCTTCGTGGTGTTTTTAGTCGATTTGGCCCACTACTAATGATGAGTATGTACAAGCTAACCTCTGCTACATAACATCGAGTTTAAAGTGATAGGCTGAAAGTTTTTGCAGTAGGTAACCAAATCTTGAAGAATACTAGTTCACCTATTAATTTGCAATACATTAAAATATTTGTGCTCCCCCCCACCCTCCCATATTAACTGAATAGATAAACTTTTGGATTGACAATCGAAGTATGAAGACTACTTTGATGACTGTCAGGAGGATCAGTGGTAGATCTCTGACTCTTAGTATGTACGTTACTATGGGAAACATTTTAATTCCTCTAGACGACTGACAGTAGATGTCTTATGAAATGATTAAGATTCTCTTATTGACAACTTTCTACTTCTCAGTCCCTGAGTATTACTAGGAGCAGGTAAATAAGGCTTTATGGATGTACAACTAAATATAGAAAGAAACTCTACCATACCCTTATTTAGCTTGCAATTCTATTTGAAATGGGAAGTGTCAAAAGCAAAATTAATTTTCAAATGAATCAATAACTAATGCTGATTACCGTTATCTATTCATTAGGAATCTTTGTATTGTTGTTATTACTTTGTTTTGGGAAAGTCGTAGGTGGAATAAATTATTTTTACAGTATTACATACTGAAAAGTCTGTATTGTATACGAAAACTGATGTTCAAAATAAAGCTATTATTTCAAGTTGTTATTCATCGTAGACTGGCATCAGTTGGAGGAACAAATGAAACCTGGAAGCAATGGACAGCTGTTTCCTTTGTTCCTTCAACTGATGTCAGTCTACGATGAATAACAACTTGAAATATTTCCAAATCTCCACAACTCCCTCAAAATTTAAAGCTATTATTATCACAATTAATAATGCTGACTAAAACTAACCTAATCTAATGCATCTTTAATCGCTACGGCTTTGATGACTGGAATCGTTAACATCAACTATTGACATTCCAACAGAAGAGCAACGATAACCAATTTCACCACCTGACATACTGTTCAATCGTCCATCTATATCATGACAATAACTTCGAATCGTTTTCCACGGTTTATTTTAGTTTTGTTTCCTTTACACTTACTGCCTGTATCTGTATATCTGAATTAGAAATTTGTCAGTCGATGGTAATATGGTTATATTCGCCTATTTGTGCTATCACTATTGTCTCGTCGACAGACATACGCTAGTCTGTGTTTCATATACTTGTGTAGGTATACGTATTTTTGCGCATCGTTGTTGTCGGCGGATGTGTTTGTGTGTATGTGTGAGAGAGAGACAACGTTTATTTCCTTAACGCAGATTCACTGTAGAATGTATTATTATTATTATTATTATTATTATTATTATTATTATTATTATTATTATTATTATTATTATTATTATTATTATTTGTCCCTTGGGTTCCTAATGGAACATGGAACTTCAGTAGCACGTCTCCAGTGCACTCTCTTCTCTGAAATCTTTTGAGCCTGGCTCCACGATAGCCCACAAGCTCTCATTTCTTCCTCGCACGATCTCCTCCATGTCACCCTCGCCTCATACGCCCAACTCGTCGCTTCCCATCGGGGTTCCATTCGAGGGCCAGGTCCTGGTGCGTGATGTCTCCAGTCCGCCTTCTCAGTGTATGCCCAATCCATCTCACTTCCTTCTGCATATCTGTTCAGCGATAGCCTCTTGCTTCCTTGCTTCGTTGCCAGCCAAAGTTCCTTGTTGCTTATTCTCATTATTCTGGCCATCTGATCTTCAGTATCGAAACAGCGTAGGCAGTTGTTGATGAATGTCTGTAGTTTGTTGGAAATCCCTTCCATACCACACCAAGTCTCTGAACCATCACATGGAAGCACTGACTTGACGTTGGTGTTGAAAATCCGGATGTTGTTCACTCTTTATGCTGAGTGCAGAAAATCTCCACACTGATTTCAGGTTAATGAACGCCTGTCTTGCTTTCCCGATCCTGGCTGACTTTGACGTCCTCATCTGTGCCACCTGTAGTTGAAACAGTGCTTTCTAGATAGGTGAAGGAGGTTACTTCCTTTAAGTTTCTCCCGTTGATTGTGGTTGGAGTTTGTTGTTGTTGGTTGGGTATCTTCATCACCTCTGTCTTCTTTACGTTCACCAGAAGGAAGTCCTGTCTTCGCTGCCTCTCCTATTCTGTCAACTTGTTAGTTCTCGCCTGTAGATATTCAAGTATATGTAACATTAGACACAAGTCATTGGAGAAATCCAAGTCTTCTAAGTTCTTTTCCCCGGTCCAGCGTATCCCCCTCTTCTCGCTCCACACTGTTTGTTGCATGATCCAGTCCACTTCAATCAGGAATATCATGGGTGATAGTAGACAGCCTTGTTTCACTCCTGTCTTCACTTCACTTCACTGAGCTTCCCATTGTGAATTACTTGGCATGTGACGTCTTCATATAGTTGTTAAATGAGGCGGATAAAGGTTTGCGGTACTCTGTAGTAATGAAGCAGTTTCCAAATTACCTCTCGGTTGACGCTGTCAAAGGCCTTCTCAAAGTCGATAAAGTTGAGGTGTAGAGTTGACTGTCATTCTATACTCTGTTCTATGATGATGCGAAGTGTGGCGTTGCAATTTGGTCTGCACATGATTTGTACTTCCTGAATCCAGCCTGTTCCGGTCGTAGTTTTGAATCAAGTGCATCTTTAAGCCTCTCCAGGATGATGCGACTTAATATTTTGCTTGTTTTGGGTGGACGGGAGAGTGATTCCTCGCCAATTCTTGCAAACACTGAGGTCTCCCTTCTTCGGCAGTTTGACAAGGTAACCCTTCTTCCAATCTCCAGGTACCTTCTCTTCCTTCCAGACCTTCTTCAATAGTGGTGTAAGCATGTCCGCTGTTGTCTCTGAGTCTGTTCTCAGTGCTTCTGGCGGGATCCCATCTGGTCCTGCTGCTTTCCCACATTTCAGTAGCTTTATGGCGTTCAGGACTTCGACTTTCGTTTGAGAGCTTGTGTTCACTTGTAGTTCTGTGGCTGGAGGTGGTACTTTTGGACGAACTGTAGGTAGTGATGGTGGTCGATTCAAGAGCTTCTTGAAGTGGTCGGCCCATCGTTTCCTTTGTTTCTCTTCTTTGGTAATGAGATTTCCGTCATCATCTTTTATTGGTTTCATCTGTGTTGATCTCTTCCCAGATCGCAACCTGGTTATTTGAGACAATGTTGTCAAGTCTCTCCTACCTGCAGCCTGTTCTGCTTCACTTGCCAATGTGTCGTAGTAGGTCTTTTGTCTTCGCACCCACTCTTCTTAACTTCTTTGTCCAGTGTTTTATACATTGTGCTCAGTTCCTCTTTTCGTTGATCATCCTTGAACTGGTTTATCTTCTGCTTCACCATCCTCCTCTCACTCCTCTATCAGCTTCCAGGTATCCGTCGAGATCCATTCCTTCTCTTCTTTCTTCTTCCTTCCTAATACGGTTATGCAGGTTTCCTTCCACATCTCTTTCAAAGACTTCCAGTGTTCTTCCACACAGGTTTCTTCAGGGATGTTACTCGATATCTCCCATTTTGTCTTGATGGCTGACGTGAAGATCTCCTTTGTAGTTTCGTCCTTCAGTTTGTGGGTGTTGTACTTAAACTACGGTCTATTACCAGCTTTCTTGAAGGCTTTCAACTTGATTTTTTGGAAGGTTCCTTGCATTAGACAGTGAGTGGTGTGAACCTACATCTGCTCCTCTTCTTGCTTGACCTTGTGTCAAGTAAGCTGACTGCGTCTCCACTTCCTTAACATTGAGATAAAGTCGATCTGATTTTTAGTGTGTCCATCTGGTGAAATCCATGTCGCTTTGTGGATATCCTTGTGCTTGAACACACTGCCTGACTCCAATCACCAAATCGTTGAATGCACAGAATTCTGCAAACAATTCTCCTTTCTCGTCTATCATTTCATCTAGCGCTTCTCAGTCCATGGTTAGTTCTCTTCCTGTGTTGTCCCCTCCCAGTTTGGCATTCATGTCACTTCACTCATTAGAATTTTGATATCGCCAACTGAAGTCTTGTCCAGTGTTGATTGAAGTTGTCTGTAGAATTCCTCCTTCTTATCTTCATCTGCATTAATTGTAGGTGCATAGTATAGCATTGTATGATTGTGACCTTCCTTCCTTTTGAGTTGAACCTCGCTGTCATGATCCAACAGGAGGAGATTGGTTCCCACTGCATGAGAGCATTCGATGCTGTTCGAGACATCACGATAGCCACTCCCTCAGTGTGCTCGTTGTTGTCGTCTGGGTGACAATGTCGGAGTAGATTATTGATTCTCCAGTTGACAGTTTAGAGAGTCCACTCCCATTCCATCCTCTTTCGCAAATTCCAAGCACTTCACTGTGATACCTTCTCATCTCGTTTGCAATCTGGGCTGCCTTGCTGTGTTCAAACATGGTGCAAACATTCCATGTCCCCATGTTTACTTTCTCTTTCATCGAGGGAGAGAAGACACATCAACCAATTGGCTTCCCGAAGGCTTTCACCAACCGGCGTCATTTCGCCTCTCCGATTCTAGCGAGGAACAATTTTGTTTGTTCTTTGAAGTTTGTTTAGCGGTTGGATTGGTTTTCCGGGGTAGGGTTGCTAGGCCTATGCCCAACCTTCTCTCTTTACCCGGGCTTAGAACCGGCTAGTAACTAGTGAACTAGTTAACCAGGCGAGGTTACTGTAGAATGTAATTAAATGTTTATATAAAGAATGTTGATTACTGTACCCCCTCCCCTCCCGCCTACTCACCATTACTCTACTCACCACATGGAAAAATGCAAAAAGAAACATTTAACCATGTGTTTTGTGGGTGCTTTTTCATTGTTTGTTATTGCTGCTTGGACTTTGTTTGTCGCTGTCAGAAAATAGGCCATGGTTTTATTCGTGTACCTTTTCGTGTGCTCATGCTCGTGTTTCATAATAACATGGATACCATTAGCAGTGTAATCACATTTTAATGTTGTTTCCTTCTACCTTCTCTTTGTCTAAAATTATGTGATGTAAACAATGACATGAGGAATACCAGTGTTTTTTATCATTACTGTTACCTTTTCCGTAGACATACGCTAGTTTGCGCCTATTCACTTAGTGTGCGTTTATATGATGTTTTGGGTTTTTGACATTAGCCGTGTAAGTCACAGGTGTATGGTTATCAAGATTTTAGGAACCAGTGGTTGGAAGCTCTTGGCGCTGTGACTCAAAATTATTCATACTAATGTAAATGTATCCGCTCTTTGAATTCTCCGAACTTCCGGTCATTTTCAACATCCTGCTTCCTGTTATATCGCTTTTAGTTTAAATTACTAACGACGCATTTCTGCTCACTTACTCTTACTGTACTATTGCGATCATTTTGACAAGTGGCTAACTTTTTGCAAGATCCACTATTAATCACCTTGCCTAGTTAAGCCTGAATTATCGCAGCTTCTATTCAATAGGTATTGCATTTGGCCGATTTATCTCTTCACCACTATTCCGGCTTTTTGCCATCTGCATACCAATGAAAAAGACATCATAAAGAAAAGAAGTCATAATTCTAGTGATCAGGATTTTTTCTGAATGTTGGGTTTAAATGTATATGTTTCTTGTTTCTTTTATTATAAATGTAGTGCTTTTCCTTGAGCATAGTTCAAAATACAATTTATTACTTTAAAGTTTAATAGTCTCCTAACCAGTAAGATATAAGTAGATGATTTATCATGGGATGGTTATTTATAAATGAGGATTTCATAAGTAGATGAAAGATAATAACAAATTCGTATCATAACCTCATCATGGGTCTAAGTACTCAGGTCACAAGATTTAACCTGTTCAACTCCACAAACACTGTTGAAAATGAGACTGCACTGTTAATAGTATTGTTACGTCTGGTTCTGGATAAGCCGGTCGACTGTACACTTCAGCTAACCAAGATTGATAAGGTATTGCTGCTCATTGATTTCATATTTTAGATTGGTCATGTCCACACACACTATCTATCATGTACTACGACGTATCAGTTATGGAACAGTGAACAAAACGACAATGTGTCTCACCCATCGCAATAATTACCTAACGCTTATCTTACAGCAGTATACTCTTCAACGACTTGACACATCTATTATAAACATTAGGGTAATGCTTCATTTTTGAAAGATGCATTTCAGCCATGAACAAATCAGTTCATACATAGAAACTCAGCTTAAATTTGACAATTTTCAAATGAATTTCACATTCACTTCATTAACTAACTGTGACTTTCAGTTTGGGGTTTTTTGGGAATTTATTGATTTCAAGTTGGTATTCACTATGAACTGACATCAGTTGGAGGTATATGGAACCTGGAACACTGGACATCTGTTTCGTCCTAGTATGGGACTCTCAGTAGTAAAACATTGTTTTGGGTATGCTACTGAGTGGTTTTTTTCTGGCATCTCATACTTAAGATATGGCTTTAAGTAATTACTCAGGCTCTTGAGTACACAAGTGCATTATTTTACCATTGAAAAAGGTTATTATTTTGAAATTTATTCAGAGTCTGTCGCATGTAGCAGGTTTTAGAAAAGTATTCTACTTTTTCAAAAGGGAATTGATAAAGGTATATTATTAATTGTGTACAAGAATCAACCCAAGTGATTACGCAACATAATATTTTGTAAACTTCACTTTACCCTTATCGTATGTCTTAGTTTGTTTTAGTCACCCAATATTGACTTTGCCTATATCTCCAACATGAGATCTACAGCCTTTGCAGTGCATGTATCGTAGTAACCAGGCTATTCGCATATATATTGACAGTAAGCTAGCTGTACAATAGGTGAAAATCTGTCTCTATTTGAACTTAGAGCTTTTTCTATGAATCCCTTGTGTGTAGTAATGTCGTCAATGCCCAGCAGCTGAATTATACATCCTAACGTTCTCCATCAAGTCAGTAAATTTCTACTTGATAGTAAAAAATTACTGTTATCAGCTGTTTAACAGTATTTATCTACCTGATGACTTAAGTTTCCCTTTCTTTGACTTCATTTTGTCTATTAATAGCATTAAACCATCAAAGCATTTACTTTGATAATGGAGATGATTAATAGCTCAAAATTAAGATGTTAATTTTTTTTATTTCCTGAGCTGTGATATTTGATCATGGACTTTTTTCCCTACTTGGAATGGTGGAATCATCAGCACCAACTTCCTATTAGAGTGGCCTCACTATTCCTTGAAATTAGTGTTGATGATTTTACAAACAAAGCTTGATAATGAAAGATATTCAGTATCAAAAAGCAGGCTAGAAGAACACGAAACTATTGTCAGTCTGATTACTATTAGTATTTGAGGTTTTGAGAAAAACGCAATTTCGTTCGTCAAGACTAGTGAAATAATACAAAATGCCAGTGGCTGACGTCAAATGATATGTTCACAGGTCGATTGTTAGTAGTCTACTTCTTAAACTACCTAAATTGCATTCAGCTGCTGATTCATTAAAAAGTAAACAAAGTACATATTTCTGTAATAATCAGTTTAACTGATTCTGTCTTTTTTGAACAAACAAACAATCATAGTCTTGGTCAGCGACAGCTAGTCTGTCTTGCAAGAGCTCTACTTCGGCATACATCAATTCTTGTACTAGATGAAGCTACAGCTGCTGTCGATATGAATACAGATAATTTAATTCAAGAAACTATTCGTAGAGAGTTTTCATCATGTACTGTATTGACTATTGCTCACCGATTGAATACTGTACTGGATTATGATCGGTAAGTTTTTACTACATTCACATTTACGCATCATTTTATCCTATTGTTTAAGGTAGCACTAATCATGAACTGATATCAGTTAGAGAACTATCGATAACGGTGAATCCTACCTCAAACATAAAATCTCCATCAACCTTAAAATACATTATTCTGTCGTATCGTGTATGCGATAAAATTATCAAACATTGGAAGTACTACTTAAATATTTATAAGTAGACGTTTGTCACTAATAAGATTTCCATCATCAAAATTAAGTAATTAGTCGACTTCTAGTTCACACTAACCAGTTGTTTCAGCTAGCTGAACTATCTAGAGCCTAGTATAAATAGTAAAAGTATTTTTATTGTGGTAAAATATTGATTTATTCTAACTTTATTATAATGAAGTAAATGTTATCCATCCTCGGTTTGGTATTAGATGACAAGACTAATAAACGTGATAAATTGTCAACCATTCACAAAGTAAAATCATTTTCACGTGGTTACCGTTCCTTTGGTGCAGAGTAAAACTAGTTAACCACAGATGGAAAAAACAGTTGGATGATAACCCACTAAATAATTTTCGTGATGAAGAGTGACCCAGTGATTTTGGCGCTTACCTGTAGCCATCAAGTTCATATATTCAAACTCTTTTCCCCTAGCTGATTCCACTTGTTAATAATAATAATAATAATAATAATAATAATAATAATAATAATAATAATAATAATAATAATAATAGTGGCTTTATTCCGAAAACCATTTCGGGAATACTCTACAGAATTTTCAGCATGTCATATGGCATCAATTGGATAAAGACAGTGTGCATGCATATATAGCAAAATGAAATAAGTATAAATTATATAAAAAGGATAAGAATATTCACTCTGTCTACAACTTTCTTGAAAATGTACAGTTAATTCAGATAAACAATCACATTAGTAATTAGGTTCATAATACATAAATAGTAACATGCTCATCATCAATTAGTTCACTTTCGAAAACAGAAGTTGATTTATTAGTTCATTTCTAATGCTTTCTTCATCGCACAGCAGACCAGTTAAATACGGTATTGTAGAGATTTTATATTTTGTAATGCGTGCATGAAGTCTTATGTGCTTGCTCTTTGTTTTTCCAGATGACCGACACGCAAAGAGGATACTAGTCATCTGATAAAATAACTCCTGCCTGATGTTTAAATGAGTTAGTATGTTTGACGACAACTGTTTTAACAAGAAGGTTTAGAGGTACACCACTAATCTGCTAACAATCTTCAAGGCTATGCGCAGCATAGAATAGTATTTCTTTCAACAACGCGGGAAAAAATAAAGGAGGACAATAGGGCGGACAGGCAAGGTGCAGGGGTTTATAAAACATAAGAGGAGAGGCTGAGTAGTAGCAGATACTCTAAGTTTCCTAAAATAGAAAGTTAGGCGGAAAATCCTCCAGGAAATTTGTAAGATATGGTAGGACCATGAAAGGTCCGAAGGAAAGCGCATGGCGAGATAAACCACACTTGTAACATTCTCTGATGCGCAACTGCCAATAGAACAGGAATCATGAGAACTAAGCAGTTTACACAAGTTATGTTCACGTCTAAAACTAAAGTTTATCGTCTAATATTTTGAAGAATTAAGCATAAGATCATTCACAGAGAACCATCCTCTAAAAGTAGGTAGGAAATCCTTCAGTTGGAAATAATCTGTTGAAGAGGTAGGCATGGAAACTGTCAGGTTAGCATATTCGATGAAATTGATACTATCTAAAGATTGTAAGTCATGCATAAAGAAAGAGAAAAAATAGGGGGAAAGGACAGCTCCTTGGGAACACCAGTCACATCAACCAATGAGGTGGAGTGCTTCCCTCTGTGAATAGTATGTTGTTTACTCTCAGAGAAATAGGAATGGAGCCAGTTGATTATCCTAGACTCAGTATTTCTCCCGGTTAGCTTGCCCAGCAAAGGGGTCTTGAGACAGAGTCAAATGCCGAAGTATAGTCTAGAAAGGCACACCTTTCATACTTCGCATTTTTATCAGGACTATAAGTAATATCGGGATATAAGAGAGTGGTGGCATCCAAAGTGTTTCTTCTACTTTTGTATGCAAATTGATTAGGGTCTCCGAAAGCCTTCTATGAAAATTTGAGCACAAGTATTATTAGCATCTCCATTATTTTCAAGAACGGAGATGTAACTGCAATCGGACGGAATTTCGAACATTAGCCTGGAGTCCCTGACTTAGGTATGGGGACTGTCTTGATATCTTTCCAAGGCAGCTGGTATGGTGTTTTCTAAAAATGACCTACTGAACATGTTAGTTAATGGATAGCATAAAGTATCAGCACACTTTGTGAATACGAAGCTTGACATACAGTCCAGACGTGAACTGTGAGAAGGGTTCAGGAATTTGAGACTTTTGAAAATATCTTTCTCAGTGAACTTTAGACAACATTCTTCATTGGACATACTTTGACAAAGTGGGATGGGACATATGGGTTGGTGTATAAACAGTTTGTTCAATGCGCAGACGTCGACATTTGATTCTTTACTAAGGTGTTTACTACTAGTGAGGTCTTTAAAAGTTTTCACATGCTGGAAGAGCCTTTGCATGACAAGTTTTTGGTTACATAGTAAACTGAGACGTTTAATTTCCAATCTAATTAAAACGTTCAACTGACGAGCACCAGCATTTAAGCAACCATCTCTCATTTGAAGCCTAAAGGAATCGATAACTGAATAGCAACCGATGTATCCTAATTTCTGGCTAAATTTTATTCACTATACTAAGTAGGAAAAAACATTCCGGTACACTTGCTGTTATTTAACAGAAGGTTTCACATAGCTAAGGTTTTGTAGTAGTTGGTGCTCATCAGTAGAGGGGATTTGTGATCTGAGTGAAAGTAACGGCAATGAAAAAGTCTTTGACTGAATGAAGTATTCCTTTACTATCTACCTGTATTATCTGAATATTTTTCAAAGTAACCAAATTCATTTTGTTTAGTCCTAATAACTGAGTGAATTCTATTATTTTGGAATGTGGTTACCATCACGATGCACCTTGATTTGTTTTGACTAGCTGAAGGATTCGGACTCGGGAGCGATCGCTTGAAACATGAGAGCGTTATCCACTACAATACTGAGCCACGATAGCCACTTCTTGTGCGACGGGTATAGTTTCAGTGTTATTGCTTGTATTACACCGTCGTTGGTTGAACCTAATTGATCAGTCTCCGTTGGCATATGGGCTCCTATGCGGATGCCTCGATATTGCCTGTTTTAATTAGTTTTGCCAATAAAATATTTTTGTTATCAAAATTTGCACAACTTAGCACTTTTAGAAGTTAATTTCTAGCTTAAAACTTTATGTATACTGGGTCTAAATGGAACCGTACGCAGAGGCGTATCAGTTCAAGTTGGAAAATTTAACCGCTTTAGTGCAAAAAGGGGAAGTGAATGGAAGTTGAATGAAATCGGTATGAGAGCTGAGACAGAACAAATATATGAAGGTTTATCAAAGATCCAGATTTAAATTATTCACCTCGTAGTTTCGCCGCTGGTAAACAATACCATGTAGTTATCATCGTCATTATCTTGTCCTCTACTTACAATGGTATGCAGAAAAGATTATCGCTAGTAAAACTCAACTTTTGATTATGAATGGATTTCCTACATCAAACTATATTTTTAGTAATCTCATAGATAACAGACCTAGGATTTTAAGACTTTTGAGTGTGGCGTTGGATCATGCGTTGAATGTTTTCTAGGTAACATGAACTGCCTTAAAGTTGTGTATAAATGTTCTCGATGATTGATTAGTAGCCTGAGACGAAGGCATCTTATGGTTCACCTAATATAAACACATAATTGCCAATATAAAAAAAATGTATAAATATAGATGTTTTGCACTTTTTAAAACCTGATGATATATTTTCCCACTTCTTAACGACTTCATTAACAGATTTTTAAAACAGTGGTGGCATCGAAAATGTTGTGTATAATGAGTTTGTCGGTGACTTCCTTAGGCGAAGGTCCTGCTCCGGATCAAACTTCAGAACTGAATCCTTTATCATTGCAATTAAGTAAGATCTTTGGTGTTGCATGGTTGATTGTAGGAGGGGGGGGCAGGAAGCTATAGGTCTGAGTTAAAGGAAACATAACCACATGAGAGTAAACATCACAGTTAATAGGTAATTTACTTTTAGTTTTGCGCATACCAAAATTTTAAACGTCAACGATTTGTTCGCCAGTCTCTAATAATAACCTAGTAATTTAGGCGCTCCAACTCTCAAGAAGAAACTATGCTGGGTGTGTAGGTGTAAAACTTGGGCAGTGTGGTAGAATTTAATTCCATATTAGATTTGTTTATTTGATTTACAACACACAGTGATCCAGTATTATTTACTTGATGACATTTCGAGGATAAATTATTGCTCATATTAAATAACACTAGATCACTGTGTGTTATAAATCAAATAAACAAATCTAATATGCTGGATGTGAACGATATCCTTGCCTTATTACGTTCAGGTATTGTGTTGGTGATGATGTAGTGTAGTTCATAATCTTGTACGCCAACGAATAAAGAATCGAGTCTACACGTGTTCACTGAGTTATAAGTTACTGAAATCGTATGTTCAAATGCTTTTAAACGGTACTGTAATGTGGTTACAGTCGCGATCTCATTTTTCATTTACTTTACCGGTATTTTTTTTTGTTAAAAATCATTTTATATGAATAAACGAACTTCATGTTTTTTTTATTTCATCTTTCCTTTCCTCCCATTCAGTGTTCTTGTCCTTGAAGAAGGTCAAGTCAAGGAGCTAGATAGTCCCAAGGTTTTATTGAAGGATAAAAACTCCAAATTTTATGCTTTAGCCAAAGATGCGAATCTTGTTAAATGAGCATTTTTCATATTTGTGTTATTATTGATAATTATCACGATCACAAAAATCACAAGAAAAAAAAGCATTTGATTGTATGCAACATTCCTTTTTTCTGTGTAAAAAAGATTTTTAACGTTAGACAGAAATGCCAAAATTAATTATTCTTTAATTCCGAGTTTTTGGGAATGAATCAATTTGTTTGTTTCTTCCACATCTCCCCTGTTGCCACCTCCATCATATCGCTGTTTCGATGATCCATCTGTGGATTTGTAGAAGCAGACTGAAATCTTGATTCTTCGCAGACTTTTTCCCCCCTAAGTTACACATAAACATGTATTTTATTTCGTAAAATGACTAACAAATGAACATGCGACCCCCCACTCCCCATACATACACAGATAAATTTTTCTATGCCTTGATTCCACTTGTGTTTTATGCCCATTTTTGCTGCATACGTATGTATATGTGGATGCTCTATTGATGCGTTTTATTGTGCTTCATAAATTGAATAAATGTATTCTAAAGTCAATGATTGCCTTCTGCTTCTTGTTGCCTCAATGTTATTCTTCTTCCTCCTCCTCCAAATGTGAAATAGGATCAGGATGAATGATATTAGGTAATAGGTTGGAGACAGTTAGTAGGTGTGAATTTTTTTCTGGATTGTGAATCTTGGTTCTTGACAGTTGTGACTGAAGCCTACGGGCAACTTAAAGGGGATGGATACCTACTCCGAGATCAGAACCAGTATCATCAAGTGTTTCAGTTAGTATGATTAATGTTGAGATGGAGATTTGTACTACGACCAAAGTTCTATAGGACTGGAACAAATAATTTGGCTTGTCTATTGAAGTATATTTTGAAGAATCTTTAATAAATGGTGATTCATCCTTCTTCACCTCTTTAAATTTACCTAAATAAAAGTTTCATCAAAGTATAGTTAATAATACTGAAGAAATTTTGAATGTCCACCGATAATATAATTGTATTCGAACCCAAACGTGCTATACTGTGCGTGCATGCGTAAATCCTAATAGCTTAACAGACCAACAAGACATAAAGTACATAAAACCAGTATTACGACACTAGCCAGTAAATAAATACAGTAGCAAAACCACAAAGTTTTTTGTTGATTGACAGTTTTGATTTCCCATTGCTATACTTAGTTGGACTGCTTGATCTCTCTGCTGGCAGATGAGCTTCCACGCGGATGCCTGGAGGTTTAATAATGCAAAAATCCTTAGAGTACTGACATAGTAAAATCAAACCTAGTTAAATTTCGTAATTACTGATAGATAAACAAAAAACCACAGTATAACCTCAGAGCAGTATGAGAAGAGCAGGTTGATGGAAAACGAGTGATGTTGACGTAAGTGAATTTATACGGGAGGAGAAAGAATGGAGATAAAGTTTAAGTTCAACCTTTTGAAGACGTCAAACAATGATCTCATGTATGCCACTGTGACCGACTTTCAGCAATATCATCAAGGGTCTCCGAAGATTGATTTCTGTTTTCTCGAAGTCCTTAACCAGGTAATCTGCACCACCCTATACAGCTGCTACCAACAGTCAAAGATTTTATGGAGTGATACCACGGCATGATGTGGCCAATACTAATCTTCTTCCAACCCAGTCCTACTTTGGTTAACATCGTACATCGAAGTAGTAGGTGGCTTGAACATGCATTGTGCATGCTCAAAGTTGTGGAGGTTCACAATCTCGTTGATTGACTTGCCTTCCTTGACTAGTGTACCTCACATATCCTGAACATTGTTCACACAGTAATTCCACCATACCAAGTGATATTCCTTTTTGTGATCACAGCCGGCTGCAACCATCGTTCCTGCATCAATCAGTTCAAACGAGGTTGTGCAAACCCGCTGGCTTTTGGTACGCGTTTGATGTAGATTAAAAACTCTTTCTCAGTCTTTCTAGGGTGTACCCAGTATTAAGACAGCTTATATGTGGAAAATAATTGCAACCAAGATCATAGCTAGCTATCTCTTCCGCCAAACATACCAGACGTTATCATCTTCCAGTCCAACACACCAAGGCTTCACTGCTGTATGTTAAGATTTCTAATGTGAAATTGACAGCTTGGTTTTAGGAGAATAGGAATGGTGATTCACCATCTTAGGCCGTTTGTTATTAGTGTCTAGCATTGTACCAAGTTGAAGAAACTATGAGGCGATTCCTGCTGTTACCACGAAGAGAAGGGAACGTTGGAGTAAAAGGTTGGTTATGGTTAGCTAGGTTTTAAATACTTTTGGTCATCCTAATTACTGGAAAGGATCATTTAAAAGTTCATTTCGAAATATAAATGGATGAATATTCTGGAAACATGAAACAGGAACTTAGAGGTTGAGTAGAGACAATATTTTCAAGAAGTGGAAGGCTAATCTCATGGATTACGCTCTTTATTCGTACAAAAACTGCTACTACTACTACCTATTTTGTATTTACTTCATTTGTCGTTTTTGAGACATAACCGCTGAGAACTATTCAGTAGAATGATAACAGAAGAATCAACTAGAAAACAACCTTTGACACTTTAACTGACCGTCACAGTTCTCCACATATTACCTCAACCTCAATACTCAATGGGTGTTACATCCGCATACATCTGTGGTGGAAGTAGTCTAGTTTTAACAGTGTATTCGTGTTACTGCGTTCCAACACTGGATTATCAGTTTGTATAACTATCAATATTGTGTTGACTGATTTATTAAAATCATTTCAGAATCATTCATATTACCAATACTTTTCTGAAATGTTAAGTGTCTGTGTTATGGCGTTTTATAAACACCGAGACTGATCTAACATACTGTAAGCTGACACAACAGTAAGTGCATTTGAGACACGAACTCATGTTTTTTTATATCTTGAATTCAGACCGTTTAACCGGGTGTCTGAAACAAGTTCAGTCCGTCCTTGTGAAGAGATACACAGATAATTAACCTACGACTTCATAGTATAAGGCATTGCGTCAAAGCTATTCACTATTTAAGGAAACATGGGGAGTAATAATTAACAAGTAGGTAGTCTTTTGCATATCTGCAACCGAAGTAAAAGTTCTTCCACACCCTACCTCGAAGCTGAAACCAAAATATATTTTTCGGCATATCTTCGCTCTCTTTTCTAAAATGTTTCTACTTTCATATGTGATTAAGAAATTTCATGTAACAGCTTATTGGTTCCTGATGGATGTAGCTGTTGAGATACTTCAGCGAATGCGTGCTGCACAAAAATACTTATGTCACCGACAGTAGTGAATTCAGGACCAGAATAATTGACTCTCCAATGAAGAAATTCAGAATAGACTCGTTTACATACATATTTGTCAATAGATTTTCACGAGTAGTGAACATGTTTTCATTTGATCTCTCTTACACAGTCTGACCTACATTTCATGACCTTAGGAGTGACTATTGACGGTGAATTGGAGAACAGTTCGTTTTAGACACCAGCTGTAAGGGTGGGATAATCTATCACCTAGAAAGTAAGCATTCAGGGAATGAATCCCAAATACTTTTACACGAAGAAAGCTGATACAAACTGTGAGAAATTATCAGTTGACAGTTCATACTGCTCGATATTTACGGAATAGGGGGAGGGAGTGGCATACAACTTAATAATTTTAGTTTATCCTTACTGAAGACATGTATAGCAGAAGGATGACACAGGTGAAACAAAACCCACAGAAAATCAGCCTACAGAAGCAGCGAAGAAATCAAGTTCAATCAGCTTAAAAACTTTTATAATTGCATGCTTGCGTGTTGTTAGAGAAGGATGTTTTAACCTTTAATGAGGTAGGTGAAATAGTAGTCAAAAATTAGCCTAATATTCTTTTCTTATACTACGCGGTTAGTTAGTCGGCTTAACTTTCCTTCAAGCCACTCTTACCAGTTTGTGAGAAAGTTCTAAGTAACTGACATACATGGTGGTGATTGGCAGTTAGATGTAGACTGTGTGGTTCTGCTTCTTTTGAACTCAGTTAAATGTATCTGCATTAATTCTTTAGCAGAAACGCTGCAACTCTCAATTGAGAAGAAACATTCACTTTTATTTTGAATGCTACTCATAAGTAGCATGAAAAATAGTACAAAAGTTTCCTATCATATGGGATGAAATCTTGTGGTTGGATGGAAAAGTCACAGATCCACTTTAAAACTGTAAATATATAACTACTTATCGACTTAAAATAAATGACATGCCACAAACAGCGCATCTCAAGAGCTTATCTGTGACAACACTGTTTGAATAGCTAAAATCAATATAATTACAAAATTTTATCATTTATTTTTTCCCTCATAGTTTATAAACAAGCTAGCTAGTACCATTTTCTTGCATCAAGTTATGTAGAATTATATGCTTTAAAGAAAAAGTCACCAAACGGTTATCGCGAGTCTGTGGTGCATAATAAAACAAGTTTATGAAATAGATTTCAGTATACGGTATATCCCATCGTCACACTGAAAGGACTACAATTTAGTTAAAGTTTTATCAAGCTCTACCTTTCAGTGCATTATTTTACACTTAGAAAAATACACATATCGAGTGGTTATATGGGCCTGAATCTTTTTGAAAGTCATCTGTACACCACGTTAATCTTTAGGATTAAAATTAACGGTTTATTTGACAGAGTTCTGAATAATTATTGGATTAGAGGATCAACACGCATAGGTATTATCAATCTCAGTTGCATTAGAAGAAAAGAAATTCAATTTCAAAGCGGCTAAAAGAAATATCTTTAGAGAGCCTTGAAGTCTGTTTGTAGTAATCTCTGGTGTATTAGCACCCTTAGATTAAAGGTTGATGAATATTTGCTTCCTGCTGAAACTAAAGATGAATGGGTTTTCCAAATTTCTTATCATAATTTTCGTACTGAAATTTCCTGGATTTCTATTCATTATTGTGACTAAAAGATTTTGTAACAACTAGGAGCATGAAATCAAACTTTCCTTATTCTTTCAAACATACATCTACTCAGGATCCTTTCTTGTATGAAATATAGTACTAGG